AATACAGATTCCCTGGCCCCTTCTTTGGTGGCTTCCATTCTGAGGATATAAAATGGGGCCCTGAAATCTGAGCAAGCTTCAAATAAAAGTGTCTGTGATTCTGATACAGCCAGCTTGGTACTGGCCTAAGGTTGACTCACTCACATAAGTAGTCATCAGTCTTCATGAAGTGCCTCCATGTGCCCAGCCCTGTGCCAGATACTGTGAGGCACGGAGGTGCATCTGCAGGGTCTCTACTCAGGGGGGAATCTACAAAGTCACTCGGGAGGAGATGTAGGGAACGATGGAGGGAGAGTCGTCCCTCTGTTTTATATGGACAGTCTGCCAGGTTCACACGTCACCTTTATCCTGCAAGATGAGACACGGAGCCGTGTGAAAACAGGTGTTCTCATAACCATGACTAACATTTGCATCTTTCCTTAGGGTCTCCCTAGCCCCATCTGCAGGGCAGTGTTTGATGCATTCTGCTCCTTCTGACCTCCTCAGGGTTCAAGACCCAGATCTTCCTGATTCCTGCTGCCCTGCATCCCTCGCCCTCGAATTTAGTCCTCCCTCCTTGTGCCCCGTGGTCTCGTTTTGTCATCGATTACATGATATGCCATGTTTTCAATACCGTCCCCACTGGGATTTGAGCTCCCTATTGAGGGTGGGGCTCCCACCTGATTCCCCTGTGTAACCTTGAACACAGGGACCCCACCCCCAGAGGAGGCAAGCAGTGAACTCATATTAGATGGATGACTACGGGGAGTGATAAGTAGGCGGAGGAATGTGCCCAATGACTGTGCCCAAGGAAAGCACTGCTGGGTTACTAAGCAGCTGGGACAAGCACTCAGAACCAAAAGAAATCAGGGTGGGCCTCAGAGAAATCAGGCAACGGGCAGAAGGCAAACCAGGCAGGGGCCGGCTTCCGGTCAAGGTCTGCCTCTCCTTTCTCTGGGTGTTTAGGGAGACAGGAAGTGGAGTCAGGACAGCGGCATCTGATGAGAACAGATGTTCTCCAGGCCTGAATGTGGGGCATGGAGGAGGGGCCAGAGGAGGGAGGAGGGAAAAGGGGAAGGAGCAGGGCCATAGCCAGCAAAAAGGGATATCCACAGACTCCCTTTATTTATTTAATTTTGCTTTTTATTATGGAAATTTTCAAACACACACCAAAGTAAAAGGAATAGCATCATGAAACCCCTGTGCCCCTCACCCAACTTCAACAACCATCCCATTTTACCATTCTTATTTCATTCCTCTCCTCGAGCATCTTTTTAAAGAAAATTCCAGATGTTATATCATTTCACCCATAAATATTTCAGAATATATCTCTCACATATTAGAACGTCTCTATAGGAAAAAAAAAAACCTCAATATCATTATCACATCTAATAAAATTATTTCTTAATACCATTTAATACAAAGTACATGTTCAAATTTCCTCATTTTTCTCAAAAATATCTTTTTAGGGTCCATTTACTTGAATCAGGATCTAGACAAGGTCCATGCTTTGCATCGTGTTGCTGTATCTCCTAAATCTCTTTTAATCTCTGACAGTCCTTCCTCCTTTCCTTTTTTATGTCATTTTATGTGTTGAAGAAACCAGGTCCCTTGTCCTATAGAATTGTCCTCATTTGTCAGTTTGGTGGGTTGAACGCTCATGGTGTCATTTAACACGTTCCACTGTCCCCCTATTTCCTGGGAACTGGGATTTAGATCCAAAGGGTTGAACTGTGTAGGATCAATTATTTGGGCAAGCAGACTCCCTGGGTGGCACTGTGCCCTTCCTAGTGCCTCATATCAGGAGCGGTTAGTCGGGTTCTCTCTTTTGGGATGATACTAAAAATGTTGAGTGTCGCCAGCCTGATCCCTCCATTACAAGGCTCCCCCGTCACCTTGCATCCAGTGGTTTTAGCACATTTTGTAGAATCTTAGAACTGACAGAGCTGGAAGCTCTGAGAAACCCATTCACTCACTTCTCTATTCATCCCACAAATATTTGTTGGGCATCTACTGTGTGCCAGGCAGAGAGCTGCAATGAACAGGACCGACATGTTCCCTGGGATCGTGGAGCCAAGAGTCAGATGGGGGCAGCGACAAACAAATGCATGAGTAAGCAGATGCACCAACAAGAGCCGTGTCTGCGAGGGTTAGAGCTCTGCAGAGAGCGACCAGAGTCAAGTGACTGACAGCGACCCCTGACAGGTGGCTGCTTTGTGATGGGTGATCAGGGAGGGCGTCCCCAGAAGAGGACAGTGGAGCTTGACAAGAACAAGCCAGCCATGCAGAAGTGGGGGTGCACTCCAGGGAGAGGAAAGAGCTGGTGCAGGCAGAGAACCTGGGCACCCGCCAGGAGGAAGGAGGAGGCCACTGTGGCCGGAGCCAGTGAGCAAGGCGGGGGCCTGAGGGGAGGCGAGCGAGGAGGCTGCTGCGGTAACGCGGGCGAGACTGACAGGGGCTCGGACCCGGATAGTGGAGTGCCGGTGACGGCTGGTCCAGCATCCTTCCACCCTTTACAGCTGAGAACACAGCTCAGAGACAGCAGGAGGTTTGTTATTGAGCAACCACCTGTGCCAGGAGCTCTCTGTGCAGCGTCTCAAAACCACACAGCCCGCTACATAGAAGTCATTGTGCCAATTTTACAGGCGAGGCCAGTGAACAGTGAAGTCGCCTGCCTGAGGGCACAGAGCCCAGGCCTGCCGAGGCTCTCCGGCCCCCCAAAGTCGTCCCACTGAGATGACCGCTGCAGGTCAAATCGTGGCTCTGGCACCTATAAGCCCCATGACCTGGACCATGGGCTTGCTCCCTCTCTGTGCCTCAGTTTCCTAATCTGTAAAATGGGAATAACACTTGCCCAAGGGGCACAGCAAGGCCAAGACAGGGGGTCCAACCTTGCCCCCCGACTCCCAGCCCCTGCCACTGGGGCCCAGAAGGGTCACCTTAGCACAGAGTGCAGGCAACTTCACACCCTCCCATACAGACACACGAAGGGTTAAAGCCAGACTCCCTCCTTCCTCCATCCCAATTCTGATCCTTGCTGACTCTGCTCCCCCTCCGACCCAGCTATTCTGGGACAATGGAGGCAGCAGATGGCCCGAGTCCTGTTCCCTCCACCCGACCCTCAGGATCTGGGAACAACCCGCAAATCGGCTGCTGCTTCTAAAAGCAGGCCGGCTGCAGCCTCCCACAGCAGCTGGGGAGCACACCATTCCATCCCTCACCGGCTGCAGGGCCGGGGGCCACCCCCACTTGGCTTGCATCCCACAAACCCAGCATTAGGTCAGCCCAGAAAGAAAGAAAGCTTTGGAAGAGCCCAAGCAGCCTGGCCCTGCACCTGACCTGCTGTGCGACCACAGGCACATGGTGGTCCCTCTCTGAGCCTCAAGCTCCTCCTGGAAAACAAGGACTGAGGCTCTGGTGCTCCATGGTTCCACTGTTCCAGACAGAGTTGTGGCCGGGACAACGTCCTTCAAGGGCTAGAGGACGTGCTCCAGAGGAGCCCCCGGCTCTGGGTGCCTGGCTCAGAGCCCCTCCATCCCTCAGGATCTCTCCTCCCTCTTCCCCCCAGCCCTGAGCCCCACTGTAGCCCCAACTTCCAACATCACTGGGGCATGATGCGGGTGGAGAGAAGAGACTTTCCATCCCTACCCTGCCCCCCATGCACCACCAGGCCTGGAATTTCACCAACATCACTTTCATTCATTCATCCAACCCCTTGGGACCTGAAATTCCAAGAGCACTCACATTTCTTCAGCTCCTACCTTGGCTGTCAAACTGCCCCTTTATCTGACACCAGAGGTTCTGAGCCTCCATTCTGCCTTCCTGGTTCTCTAACCACACCCCACCCCCCCAGGACCTGAGGGCAGAGGAAAGGAGGAACAGCCCCCAGCACACCAGCACCTTGTGGTATTCACACGCATGTACATCATACACACACACTTGTGATGGGCACACACACATATGTCCTTATGCACAGACATGTGTAGGAGGAGGGTACATGCCACACACACACACGCGCGCGCGCGCGCACACCCTCACACATCTGGCACACCACGACACAAGCACACACTAACAGTCACCATTCACTGAGTCCCTCCTCTCTCCGTGCCAGGCTCTGTGCCGTGTCCGTTACAAACACTACATCACTTCACCCACATACCAACCCATGAAGCTGCTATTCCTTTTCTCATCCATAAAATGGGCAACACCCCTAAAAGTGACCGCCATCCCCACTGTGACAGACACATCAAACACCCTGCCCCAGTCAGGAATGCTGTGGCTGCAGGAAACAGGAAACTGAACCAAGAGTGGCTTAAACAAACAGGGTTTAATTTTTTTACAGAACCAGACGCTGAAAGGGACAGCTGTGGATGACTGTCTTGGCCTTTCCTTCATGGCAGCAAAGTGGCTGCCCCAGATCCAGACATCACACTCACACTCACAGCAGGAAGACGGGGTATGGGGCTGCAAAACCTTCCCCAGAAGCTTCTCTATTGGCTTTGCTTAGTTCACATTAACAGACAGAGTCTGGCTCTGGCCAGAGCTGGGTCACATGGTAGCCCCTAACCGCAAGGGACACTGGGAAAATGAGCAAAAGGATCATCATGATTTTCTGGGACCCACTATAATCCGTCATCTGATTCTGGGCATGCTTCAAACAAAATCGGGTTCTGTTAGCAAGTAGTGGGGAACGAGGAGCTGGAGACCGGGGGCAACAACAGTATCTGCCACAGGCCCTGGATTCTGCCATTATTCCACCTGGGTCCCCTCAGTGGTTGACGATCCAGCCAAGGAAGCCACGAGTGGGTGGCACAGCCCTTGACCCCAGGGGAATGACTCAGAGACCAGAGCTGGGGGCAGGGGCCAGACCCCACCCAGGGGCCCCTGTGATTCACTGGAGGGTTAGGACCTGTGAGTCCAAGCCCAGCTCAAGGGCCCCCACCCCGGTTCGATTCAGCCACCCAAGGCCCGTGGAAGCCCAGCCCCTGGGGCCTCTCCCGCCCTCACCTGGTGCTCCTGGTCCCTGGGCTGTCCCCCCACCTCCCAGGGGCTCAGGATGCCCTCCCCACCAGCCACCAGCCAATCCTGGGCTTGCCCACCACTCGGAGGCCCTGCCAGGGACTGCCCACCTCAGGGCACTTGCCACAGGCCCTCAGGGCTGCCTGGGGAGGCGAGGGACAACCAGAGACCTCAGCCCAGCGGTTCAGGGTTCAGCGGGCCACCAGCTGGGGGCACCAGGGAGTGTCTGGGTAGAGGAGACAGTGGAGGGAGCGAAACCTGCGGAGAGACCAGAAACGGATGAGACAGCCAGTCCCACTCCCGTCCTCGCCCCACAGCTCCTAGGGCAGCGCAGGGCACAGGGGTGGTTTGGAGCAGGGCTCCTCCACCTCAGCACTATTAACATTCGGGGCCAGATCATCCTTTGTTGTGGGGCCGTCCTGTGCATTGTAGGATGTTGAGCAGCATCCCCGGCCTCTGCCGGCTAGATGCCAAGACCCCCCCGCCAAGTCGTAACAATAAAAAATGTCTCCAGACATTGCCAATGTCCCTGGGGGGGAAATGGCCCCTGGTTGAGAACCACTGGTTTAGAGAGACTTCAGAGGCCGGAGAAGCCATGAAGAGACCTCAGCGGAGGCCGGACCATCTGACCACATATATCAGAGTCCCCAGTGGGCTCCAGCCTCCTTAGGCAGGAACCTATGGATTCTAGGGTCTTCAGGCTTAGAGAGAATCTAACATCAATTCTTAAACCTCTTGGCAGTATAGCCATAGCTTGCACACCTCCACTGATGGGGAGCTCACCCCATTAGAAGGCAGCTCCTTTCATCCCAGAAATTTGAATCTTTTTTCCTATATTAAGCCAAACTGTGTCTCCTTGTCACGTCCAGCTTAGTCAACACAGCCTCGGACCCAGGGCCCTCGAAATAGTTGTGAGCCTTCTGCCCCAGAACAGATGGCGCCGCAGAACCTCGGAGCCAGGAGTCCTGGTTCCCCAAGGGTTACATACTTGAGATAAATCTGAAGTCCAGACAGAGCCTACAGGGCCGGGGGGGCTGCCATGTCCCCAACCGAATTTGACACCACCCCCCTCTCTTCTCCCGCATTCCAGTCACACTGCTGTCCTCTACTTCATGAGCAGGTTTTGGCCCTCTTGCCACAGTGTGTCGCAGGCTGTGCACCAATCTGCTCTACAGCAATGGGGGGCTGAGATGAACAGGCCTCATCTCCCTGTGGCCAGTTTGAGGGCAAAACCGGAAGGTGCCTGGGTGGCATCTCAGCCCCCATTCCAACCCTCTACCCACCAGAAAGAACCATTGAAGAGAATCAAAGAAACAAAGAGCCTACAAAGATCCAATAAAAATTCCCCAGCAGCACCTGCATTTCCTCCACCATCTCCTTTGCTCAGTGCAGACATTAAAGTCTTCCAGGGGTTTCTGAAGAATCCCAGAGGATCAGGGCTGGGAGAGCCCTTCAGATCCACAATGCCCAGCCTCCTTGTGTTACAATGGGGAGACTGAGGCCCAGAGAGGGCGAGGCATTTGCCCAAGGTCACCTAGCAAGCCCGTGGCAGAGCAGAGCCTGAAATCCACTCCCTCCACTCCCAGCTCTGCGCTGTCAGCCACTGGGGCCTGTCTCACTTCCCCCCCTCCCGACTCCCCCATCTTCGGATGCCGGGACCCAGCCCCATCCCTCCCATCCCACAGTTCAGCCCCCAGACCCACCTGGAGGGGTCCTCCTCGGGGGAGAAGGGGCCCTGTAGCTTAATGACGTTGAGCTTCCCCTCGAAGACGCCATAGCTGAGGGTGACCTGGCAGGGAGAAGCGGAGAAGAGAATGAAGGTTGGGAAGTGTCACACTGGGGACCCCACAAGGGGACAGCGTGTGGGGAGAAGCAGGGAAGGAACATAAGGTATTCTGAGGGCACGGAGAGCCTGCCTCTGTGCCCGAATTCCCCTTAGCTGTGGGTGCGTCACCGAGGAGCCTGAAGCCTGCAGAGCACTTTCATGCCCAGATCTCATTTGTGCCCCCAACAGTCCGGCTTACCTGGGAGGCTGGTACAATTCCCTCATCCACAGACTGGGAAACTGAGGCTCAAGAGGGAAGGCACCTTCCAGGAAGTTGCGGCCTGGATGGAGGTTTCCTGAGACTCGCTGTGGGGCCCTGGCCACGTGCTCTCCACCCGGAGCCCCGAGTTACTCCACACGCAATGAGGGTGAGGGATAATGACCCCCGGCGAGAGGCAGTCAGGCACAGTGGTTAAAGACTGTGGGCTTAGGGGCCACCCAACCAGGGGGCAAATCCCCTCTGCCTTGTACCAGCTGTGTGTCATGGTTAGTTCTGCTCTCTGGGCCTCAGTTTCTCCATCTGTAGAATGGGTATAGCACCAACCTTGTGTGAATGTTGTGAGGAACCAGAGTTAAAGAAAAGAAGGCCTCTAGTGTGGTACCTGGCATGTGGGGTGCTCTGGAAACCCCAAACATTAAGGGCCCTGGTTTTGGCTACCCCAAATCTGCCCCTCTTTCCTAACCGGACCAACCCTGAACCCCAGTTCCAGGCTGGCCAATCAACGCTAATTCTAGGTGCCGCTAGGAGACAGGTCATGTGACCCAAGCGAGGCCATCTGACCAATAAGCACCAGCCTTGGGATCTGGTGGAAGGAGATAGGTGAAAGACACCTGGGGCCGCCATCTTGCCAGCACGACAAGGGGCAGGCTGCCTGAGAATGAAGCCAACATGGGGGAGGGCAGATGAGAGAGGGGACAGTCGGAGCTCCCAGACCACACCAGCTCTAGCAAGTCAAGCCAAGCCCTCGGCTTCTCAGGTACGCGGGCCCATAAACATCCTTTTGGGTTTGACCAGTCTGGGACGCCTTTCTGTTGTTTACAGCCTAAAGGGTCTGACTCACACTGTTGGGCCGAAGACCCCAGGGACGTCCCAGCCAGGACCATCTACAGGCTGCAGACCCATGAGCTGGAGAGCAGCAACTGCAGGGCAGCTCCAGGTGGACCTCAGCAGAGTCATTACCTGCCAGGTGGGATGGGGTCCCAGCCCGACATTATGCCCGAGTGTCCTCACTGAAGGCCTGGCCCTTCCCAGTAACATCTGGGTTAGAAGGAACAGCAGCGAGCAGTGGACAGGTGAGCTTTGACCAAGGAGGCAGCTGCCAACAGGAGGAGTTGGAAAGGGCAGGCCTGGCCCCCAGGGGGATGGAGGGAGGATGGAAGATTGAAGGATGGAGAGAGGGACGGGAGGTAGCAGGTGGGGAGCAGGGTGGTCTGACCCTGCAGACAAGCTTCATCTGTCTGTGTAGGTCCTTCCAGCTGGAATTGGGGAATCAGATCAAATAATTAGCATCACAAATGCCAGCCCTTGAGAGTTAAAGGTGGAGAGGGCTGAGTCACCGTGTGCCCTTAAGGTGGGCCTTTGCCACGCTGGGCCTCAGTTTCCCCATCAATAGGGGATAGCCCACACACACCTCCCCCACCGCCACCTGCCCCAGGGCCGCTCACCTGCTCCGGGAGCTGGGCAGCCCCCAGCAGCTGCAGTGTCTCCAGGTGCGAGTGGAAGAGGGGGCTGGGCTGCAGGTGACCGCCCAGCTTGCACTCAATGATGTAGCCCACAGTGCAGTCGTCAGGCAGCCGGATGAGCGCAGATGTGTCCACGAAGCGGGGGCCACTGAGGGACAGAGCCGTGCTGTGGCCTCTGGCTAGGCCCTCCACACCTAGAGCCCTCCCCCGCTCCCAGAAGGCCCACCCTCCGCCAGCACATCTGCAGGCCAGAGCTCGGCTCTAGCACCTGCCTCCTGTGTACTGTGCGACCTCGGGCAAGTCACAAACCTCGGGGAGCCTCAGTTTCCACTGCTGTGAAATGGGTATGATAATAGCCTCATCCTCACAGGGCCATGGTGAGGATGAAGTGGAGGAACGATGAGACGAAGCCCGTTATAAATGTATCCCTTCCTTCTATCCCTTTCTTTTCATTCATTCATTCACCATTCAGCTTGAGCATCTACCTGGTGCCAGACACCATGCTAGGGCTGAGTGAGGATACAGAGATGAGAAAGAAACCCTCCTGCCCTCAACAGCAGCCCCCATTCTGGGGGGAGACAGACAGACGAGCAGGTCATTTCAGAGTAGGACTGGCGCTAAGTCAGAGGGAAGCAGGAGGCCTGCGGGACACAGGGTGGGAAGGCGGGCTTCCCAGAGGAGGTGGCAGTTTTTGTTTTGCTTTGTATTTAATCGTGACAGCAGCGGTCTTCAAAGGGAGTCTTACAGGATGAGCTGGAGTCAGCCAGGTGTCTGCCGTAGGGGGGGCAGCACCCCAGGCAAGGGCGTCACCTGACTGCTCTGACCCCATTAACACCCTGGGGGCTGGGTTGGGCAGTCTCCCGCTGCTGCACAGGATGCCTGGCCAAGGGGGCCAGGGGAGTAGAAACCCACTTTCACGTCCCCCCCGCCCCCCCCCGGCCGCATCTGCCCAGAGGAGGTGCCTTTTTCTAATTCACACGAAGGTAGCATAGAGGCAGGCAGAAGACCCCAGTCCCAGGCAGACCCCCGTCCCGGGTACACGCCTGCTGTCGACATGCCCTAGGGCAGTGTTCCTGCTCCTACTCAGGCACGAATGCCCCGGAGGACCCCCGCCCCCATCCAGGGCAGGGACAGGGCAGGCTGGTGCAGAGGCAAAGCATGCAGGCCTTGCATCCAAACCCAGCAGCTGGGTGACCTTGGACCTGGGTGACCTTGGACCAGTCGTTGGCTTAACTTCTCGGTGCCTCAGTTTCCTCAGCTGTAGAAACGAGGCTAACGGCCCCTTCCTCCTCAGATGCTGTGAGACCCTTGGTGGAGCACAGCCTGGCTCAGAGTCAACCCTCAATACACGGTGGTGACACTGATGTTGCTGTTAATAATAACAACAGTCTGTCCAGGCAGACGTCAGGAGGCCAGGCCTTTGCCACTTCCTCTCGAGAATACTGGTGCCCCCCACCCCATACTGAGAGCTTCCACCACCCTAGGATCTCCCTCAATCTGGAGCCCTCTAAGGCCATCCCAGCTCAAATGCCACCTCTTCCAGGAGGCCTTCCCTCCTCTTCCCTCCTCTGAGTGCCACTACACTTGGCCTTCAGCTCCCTGTGCCAATGACCGGTCAGAAGAGGGCTGCAAACGGGACCTAATGTTTGCCTGGCTCCCACCAGGTGCCAGCCCAGACACTTCCTCATTTAACAGCCATTGGCCGTGCATTCTCATGTCCATTTTACAGATGGGGGCACTGAGGCCCCTGAGATTACGCAACCTCCCTGTGTGTGGCAGAGTGCAATGGGCGGTGCACCCCCGAGGGCAGGGTGGCAGGAGCCTGCTCACCACTAACTCTGTAACTCGGTGACACAGCATGAATAGGGGTAGTTTCTCCTGGGCTTGCTCTCAAGCCCTTCCTGCAGCAACGGCCCCACACACCAGCCACCCCCACCCCATCCCCCACTTACCTGGCCCATGGGGCCATCTTCAAAGCTAGTTTGCGGTTGATGCAGAAGCCGGCACCCCCAGTGGCGAACCAGAACCGTACCAGCCTCTGGGGGGAGAGGAAGGGAGGGCCAAGGTGCGGGGTGAGCCTGGAGGTGGGGTGGGTGGGGGCAACAGCTTGGCCATCCCTCACTTCCAGCCAGCAGGCTCAAAACCTTTTTATTTCACATCTCGCTAGAGTCTTGCTGCAGCCTGACATTATTATGCCCATTTTACAGAAAAAGAAACCAAGGCCCAAAGTCACATAACTAATCAAGATTGATGGTGTCTCCAATGAGACCCTAATCTGGCTGGATTCCGGTTAAAGAGGACATGTGTCATATCCATCAGCCCAGCACACCTTACCCCTTTCCCCAGAGACATGTCTCTACCTCACCCTATGTGGTTCAGGAGGGGCTGCCACACACAGCCCCTGCTCCCTTAGGACAGAGGCAGGGAAGTGCCCTGGGAATGAGGGATCACAAGGCCACACCCCTTGACCCAGTGATTGGCTCAGCAACAGGCACATGACTTAGGCCAGCCAATCAGAGTTCTTCCCTGAACCGTATATGCTAATTGTGAGAAAGATGCTCTCTGCAGGGTCACCAGCTCTGGGAGCTATAATCCTGATGCCACCCACATGGGCCACTTACACTGGCCTCGCCACTCCCAACTCCTGGGACCGAGAAAGCTTTTCCACAAAAGGAGAAAAGGAGGCCTTGCATGGAGTAAAGAGAGGACAGACCGGCCTGTGAGACCGAGACCAGGAGACCCCTTGATATCTCGGTCACAAGAACCAACATCCCTCTGCGGTCTGAACCATTTTCTGCCACTGCCCAACAGCACCACAGCCCAAGGTCTCTTCCCCCTCCTCTGGGAGGACCCATGAATTCACCCATGGATTTCTCTAAGGCTTTTGGGAAACACTGTGCCCTTTCAGCCATACCACCTCTTGGTGGAACAAGTTCCCTGAGGTTATCTTCTCCCAGGTACACAACTGGTGCTTCCTTGATGCATGTTGCGTGGGTTTGGGTTATCCCCCACGCGGCAGCAGTGAGAAGAGCCCTGGGCAGGGAGTCGGGCAGCCTGACTCTGAGGCCCCCACCTCCTCCACTGCACAGCTGTGCAACCTTGAGAAAGTCACCGCCCCTCTCTGGGCCTCAGATTTGTCACCTGTGAGCACAACATCTGCTCCAGTTCTGGAAGCTGAAGGTGCTCCTGGCCCGGGGGTGTCCTCCTCCTAAAGACCTCTATGAGTTTACTTCTGGAAACTCTACCCTCTTACAGAGAGGTCAGGGCTCAACAAGGCAGAATGAATGGTTTCCTAAGGACCTGGCACACAGTGGGTGCCCAATAAATGCTTGTTGAATGAATGAATGAGTGCAGGGCCTCCGCTCTCATATCATTACCACGACAGCAGCGATAACAATATAAGCGCCTAACCCTGAGCACTGACTGGGCCCAGCCCTGTGCCAAGAGCTGTGCCATAGACGAGCAGACTAATAAGCACAAAAGTGAGGTCACTTGCCTGACCTCCCAGAGCCGGGACCGACCCAGAAACAGAGTTCTTGGCCCCTTTGCTGTCCCACCCTGGGGGACCCCAGGGTCTGAACAGGCCACGACACTCTGGGGCAGAGTCCTGGGATCCCACCGGTGGGGTGTGTGTCAAGGAGGGCATTCATGCAGGTTGTGGGGCGGGGACTGAGTGTGCCCAGCAGGGTGCTGAGCCTGCCCGGGAAGAACGGGCTGGGAGATGAAGGCTGAGCTGAGTCCTGTACTGATGCTGACACGTCCTCGTGTCTGTTACCTGCCAGGTCCCGCTCCAAGCACCTGGATAGATGACCTCATTTAATCCTTTCTGTTTGGTTCACAACCACACACACCCTATGAGGTAAGGACTGTTATCACCCATTTCACAGATGAGGAACCTGAGGCGCAGAGAGATGGGGTGATTTCAATCAAGATCACTAAGCCAGGAGGTGGCAGGCTGGCATGTGATCCCAGGGAGGTGGAGCAGAGTTCTCAACCCCTAAGGCCAGGGTGAGGTGGGTGGGAGCCTGGGAGAGCTCAGCTCACCCGAAATCGACTCACACACCCAGCCCTGGGCCCAGGAGGGTTTAATTAGGGCTCACAGGCTGATTAGCTGATAATTAAGGCTTGGTGTTCCCTGCTCTTGGTTTTCCTAATGAAGCAGATGGTGACCGAGGGAGGGAGAGAGCCCCACAGCGGGCCAGCTCCCGCTCCAGGCGCTGCCTCCAGGGAGGGGGCTCCCAAACTCGCCTTTTCGCAGGACCAAGGGAGCCCTAGGGGGCTGGTCCACACACCACCAGAAGCCTGGTGGGTCCTGGGGCCCCAGGGAGAACCCACAACATACTTATACTAAAAAATTCTTCACTGTTGATCTGAAAGTCAAATGAAACTGATATCCTGGTTTTTTGTTTATTTGTTTTCTAAATCTGGCAACCCTAACAGTGTCCACCCAGGTCTGGAGCTAAGCTGGCACTAGGCCCCTGTTGTGCCGGGTGTCAGCTCTCCACCTGCTGGTTAGTGAAGTCTGGGGGGAGGAGGGTCCTAGGGGAGGCGAGTGTCTAGGGACGCAGGGCAGCCGGAGTTTACACCCGGCCCAGCAGTTCTCAGCGTTTTGACAACCTGTACAACTAACGATGACACCAGGGGGCTGGGAGCCCTGCCTGGAGTCCCGAGTCTTCAGTTCACTGCCTCGGTGACCTCACCGAGTGACCAGGACAAGCCACTGCCCTCGGCGACGGAGGCCCTCCTATGTGCCAGTCTCTGTGCCTTACCTGCATCATTTCAGTCTCCCCATTTCACAGAAGAGGAGACTGAGGATCAGAGATGAAGTCACCAGCCCAAACACACAGCAAGGAGGCCAAACGTGAAACCTAGAAAACCCACTGGACTCTCTCCTCCCCAGCCCCGCCCCCGGCCTGGCCCCGCCCTGGTCTTGCCACGCCCCCATCTGGCCCCGCCCGAGCCTGGCCCCGCCCCCGGGGCCGGTGTCCACTGGACTAAGGAGGAAGGGAGGGACTCACCGTGCGGTTGCGGGGTCGCGGCTCAGAGGCGTGGATGGGCCGGTTCAGGCTGGGCCGGCCTAGGTAGACGTCGCGGGTCAGCGGGAAGGTTTTTAGCAGCTTCAGCAGCGACCGCGCGTTCACGTAGTTGTCGTCGTCCACGTGGCAAAACCACCTGTGGGGATGGAAGGGGGCACAGTGAGCTTGGAGGGGGGTTCCTAGAGAGGCGCCCCTGGCCCCCATAGTCAGTCAACAAACAGTTACCCGTGGGGGTGACTAACATTTAAAGCATTTGTTAGGTGCCAGGCAGCCTCTCTTGTAAGCTTATAAGGAAGGCGTGCCCACTTAACAGGTGGGGACCAAGACTCAGAGAGGTAAAGACACTTGCGCAAGGTCACACAGCCACTGAATGGCAGGATTTGAACTCAGAAGGCCTGCCCAGCCCACTGAACACTGCCCACTGGGTGGATGGGTGGGTGGAGTCCAGAGGCCCTACATGATTAAATTCACAGGACCCAGGGGACTTCACTTTTTTGACACAACACCCCATTCAGGAACTGGCCTGAGGCAGAGGTCACACCTGCCCGCAGAGACCCAGATGCGCTCACCTCAGCCCGCTGGCCAGGAAGGCGTCGAACTCGGCAGCCATCTTGCAGGACAGGGCGGGGTGGCTGTGCTCTGCAGAGCAGTTGGTGATGATGAGGTGGGACCCTGGAGACGTGAGGCCAAGTCAGGGGACCCTGCCCCACTCCTCCCCACAGCCCTGCACCCAGTGAGAAAGCAGAGCACAGCCAATGGACAGCAGCTGGGCCGGGAGCCACGTGTCCAGGGTCTTGTCCAGCACAGCCACACCCGTTTCCAGGGAAGAAGCTGCCCCTCCTGGGCAAAGGGGAATCCCCACGTGCCAGGGGTGCCCCTGTTTCCTGGGGACCCGCAGGCCAGAGGACAGCCACCCCAACTTTCCCTGGCGGCAGCCGAGACGCCCCCACCCGCCAGAGTTACCCAATCTCTCCTGGAGGCCTTCATCCGGGCTGTCGGTGAAGACGAAAGTCTAGAAAGAACAAACAGGCATCAGGATTCCGGCCAGCCAGCCCACCGCCCACCACAGCCAAGCCCCGGACGAACCACCCGCCCAGACCTCTGTCGTCCTTCAGGGACGGTCACACACCCTCTCACAGTCGCACACTCCTTTGGGACAACATGACTTTCTCAGCTAAACCCCCAAACAACACACACAACCCAGCTTCTGTAGACACACAGCTTCCCGGTGTACACCAGCCCTGGTGTCTCGCTCACACACAGCCCCTTACAGACCAGCACCCAGGGACCCTACCAGTCCCACACCCTGACACACCCTCTTCCATCGCACACACAGCACAGTCCCCCCTCCACAGTCTCACACAACCCTAAACACTTCGTCAGGAGACAGACTCTGTGTGAAGAGACCCACACGCTGGGACACCGCACCCCTTAGATGTCACAACCTCCACAGCCACACAAACCCCCCCGTGCAAGTGCGGGGAACCTTCCGCATCTCAGAAATTTTGCATCTTGACCCGATCCAGCTCTCCCCGATTGGAGCTGCTCCCGCCGGGAGCTGTCACACGCCCGGTCCCCGATGACCTCCCTGAACCTCGAGGCAGATGCTGCGATCTGTCCCCTCCCAGATGGCAGAACTGAGGGTAAGTGACAGACCGAGGCCGTGCAGTCGGCAAGTGCCAAGCTGGGATTCGAAGCCACAGGCCTCGGACCTCTCCTTGCCACCTCCCTGGGTGGGTGGAAGCCACTCAACACCCTAAATGAACTGAACACAAACTCTAAAGAGAGGAGAGACAAGCCCTCCAGGGGCAGCACGTGGCAGGATGGAGACGTGCCAGCCGGGACTGGTCCCACACCCGCTCCACGCCCAGCCCAGCAGAGCCTCTCGCTGCCCGAGCACATCCAGGGCCTCCTCTGACCCCTAGGCTGCCCTGCCCAGGGCCTGGGGCACTTTTGAACCTCTTCCAAGTGAGGACCAAGGAGAAAGCATCCCACCCAGGGAGCCCCTGACCTCCCCATGCCCCACTCAGGCCACACCCGGGCCCAGCCCTGTCCTCCCTCCAAGCTCGGGGCCTCCAACCGCACTGCCCCTCCCTGTTCATCCACAGACCTCTCTGTCCTTTCCAGAAATCAGCCCTTCAGATCAGAACAGCCCCTGCCTTGAGCCTCAGTTTACCCATCTGTAAAATGGGGAATTGTGGTAGCTGTGATGTAAAACGAAATAATGTGTGAAAGAACACGGCAGAGTTGGCAGTGAAGCCAGGCTCAGCTTGCTGTATCTCAGGGGAAACTGAGGCACGGGAGGCCAGAAGCCAAGGCTGGGCACAGGAAGGGGCAGAAGGGAACCAGGGCTGTCTCCCCACAGCCATGGCCTTCTTCTGAGCCCCTATTATCTCTCAATGGATTATTGCAAGGCCCTGCCTCACTCCCTCAGATCTGTTTTCCTGTCAGGACCAGAATCAGGTAATAGCCATACCCACCAGCCCCACTAACACCTTCTGTATCTCCCTACTGCCCTTGGGATTAAGTCCAGCCTACTAAGTGTGCCCAGTGAGGGGCCACCTGGCCCTGCGCATGACACAGCCTTTCTCATCACTTCCTGCCCCACCCCTAGGGCCGCTCTTGAACCTGAAGGTCTTTCACTTCCCCAAATACGCCACACACACACTTCTCCGAGCCTTGGTACATGCTGTGCCCTCTTCTCTCCCCTTAACTCCCAGCTCAGTCATCACCTCCTCCAGAAAGCCTTCCCTGACACCCCTCCCATGTGCTCCTGTTCCTCCTTATGGTAACAGCAACCCCTCAGTTAAGGAAATCTACCCCTTGGTCTCTCCCACCAGACAGTGACATCCTGGAGGGCACAGACCTGGTCTGATTTGTCTCCCTGTCCGGCACCCGGCTTGCCCCTGGGAGGCCTGGGCAGCGTCCAGCTTCTGAGCCTCTCTCCCTGGGGTCTGTCTCCATCAGATTTAGCTAACACTGGGGGTCCCTGGATTTCTCTGGGGAAAGTGTTGGTGGCCCAAGCCCAGACCCTGGTCCTCTTTTCCATCCCGTCCACTCCCTCGGTGACGCCATCCAGCCTCTCAGTTTTAAACTCCCTCAAGAAGCCAGAGAGTCTCGCGTTCACACCTCCAGCCCTGGCCTCTCCCCAGCTCTCACATCCACCATCGCCACGATTTCTCCCCCGGAGCCCAAGGCTGATGCCCGAGCTCCCCCAGGCCTGTCCTTCTCTCTGTCTTCCCCATCCTGCTAGGACCCAACACCCTGGGCTCACCGTGCCTCCTCTCTTTCTGTCACACCCACACCCAGTCTGTCACCACTCTGTCCACCCAACCTTCAAATCGCCCGGGATGCGACCTCTCCCCACCAGCCCCCAGGGCCGCCCAGTGGTCCAGTCCACCCTCGTCACCTCCTGCCTGCTTTGCTGCAGTCGCCTTTGCCCTGGTCTCCCTGCTCAGTCCTGTCCCCACCCCATCTGTTTTCAACACAGCTCCTGAGGGAGCCTGGAGAATAAGGCAGGCCTTTCTTGCCCTGCTCCCTGGCAAACTTCTGCCACCAAACAGCCACCAGAGAGTGGAACTCTCTCGAGTTTGGAGCATGGGCCAAATGGGCCAAGGAATAAGCCCGAACGAATCGGCGGGGAAGGGAGAGGAGGGGCCCTGCAGGGCCGGGCTGGGCAGGCCATGAGGCTGGTGTGTCAGTCCCTGGGAACCTGAGGTTGGCACAGAGCGGTGGGCAGAGTTTCCTGAGCCACGGGTGGCATTTGATTGTTTAGGGAGGGGACCCTGACGATGGTTAAAACCTCACAGGAAAACAAAGGGACAGGCAGCCTGCTGGGGGCAGGGGAGGGGGTAGCCAGGACCATCTGCTGCAGAGGAGGGGGGTGGGCCGGCGCTGCTCCCCACAGCCCTCAAGGGAGCTCCCCCTGGATCACAAAACATGCCTCCCCAGCCCACCCCCTCCGCCTGGGACAAAGGCCGGCACATGAGCCCCGGACCACTGCCACAAAGGCCCACCTGCCACCCGGCCGCCCTTAACCAGCTGGGCAGGCGCCCAGCCCTGGAGTTAACCAGCTCGGGCCTGCTCCTGAGGGCAGAGCTGAGAGAGGCTCCCAGACCCTCCTGTCCTGTGCAGATGGGGAAACTGAGGGCTGAAAGGGGGAGGGCCTCGGCCAAGGTCGCAGGAAGAGATGATTCAAAGGGGGGAAATGAAGTGGGTCTCCCTCTCTCCCCTTCTGTTCTGCCGTCTGAACATCCTTCCTTCTTTCCACTCTGCCTCAAAGGACACAATTTCTAGACTCTGTCGCTTGTGCTGGGGTCCAACTGAGCATTCATCTCCCACCTCTGCTTAACGGTGCTCCGTTTCCTCACTTGTGAAATGGGGATACGTATCAGAACCTACCACTCAGGGTTGTTCTGAGGGTTAACGAGAGTGATGCATCTGATACGCAGCCCTCAGACACGGAGCGGTGGCAGGTGCCCCCTCTGGTTGCCTGGCTGGCATCTTGGGTTGAGCTCAGGGCACAGAGTGGGTGGCTGCTCGCCTCTCCCCTGCTGGCCTGGTCCGCCAGGCTGCAGGCCCAAGGACCCTCTCCTGTGGCTCAGTGATCCAGGCAGCCCTGGGATCCGGGGTCTCAGCAAAGAGAGGGGCGGGGTGCCCCTGGGCTCTGCCCCCTCAGGCCTTTGGGGTGCTGCTGGCAAGCACCTCCTCCTGCCTGTGCTCAGTTTCCTCATCCAGAGCAAAGGCGCCACCATGGTGATCCAGACAAGACAGGAAAGGGCCTCAGACCATGTGAGGCCACGCTCCGGGGGACACACAGACACAGCGCCATAAACAGGAAGGTCTGTGGGGAGGGCCAGGCTCGGCAGCTTCCGAGGGAGGAACCAGAGTCTCCCCAAGATGAGAAGCTGTGTGGGGCCCCAGGGAAGAGCCTGGGGTGCTGGGAGCCCGGCAGGGAAAGGGTTAATCCAGGGTGCTAGGACCTCAGGGCCAGGAAATCGGGGTGGGGGGTCCCCTCTCCCCAGGGGGACCTGACATCTTCCAGACATTACCTCCCCTCCTCTTTGGTCTCCCAGGAGCCCCCGACCTCCTCCGGAGGCTCAGTCACTTCCTCCCACTGAGCCAGCCGCCAAGGTGGGGACGGCGTGTGTGTGTGTGTGTGTGTGTGTGTGTGTGTGTGTGTGTGTAAATCTGCCTCTCCACCTCCCCAGAGATGGTCTCCGACACCGCCAGTCACTGACTGCTTGGGGAGGGACTTGGGTGTGGGGAGGGGAAGAGCTGCCTCCCCAGAGACATGAGCCACGTGCCCCTGTCACCCAGACACCTCTTGCCAGGCACGTCTAACACTGACACTTTGGCTCACACACACACATACAGTCCCACATGCCAGGGGGGCCTCTACCCTGACCTCTTGCCCACGTCAGCCTCAGCCAGCACCATCACAGCACACCCCCTCCCTCCCCCGGAAACGGCGGCAGGAAACGAGCACCAGAGGCGAGGGGCCGCTCCCCTTGGCACAGCCAGGGCAGCAGAGGCCTGGGGGCAGATCAGTCAGGAAATCTGAAAGGATGCCCCCTCCCCGGGCTCTCTCCCCAGAGAGCCCCGCCTAGACGGTCCCCTCCTCAGCCGCTCCGGCCCTGGTCTGCATCCTCACGGCCAGGGCAGAAGGACAGCACCCGGGGCCTGGGTGGGGGCAGCCTGGCCTGGGCTCATGTCAGAGTCAGGACCACTCAGAGGCCTCTGCCCCAGCTGCCAGACACCCACCACGGCCCCCACGCCAGGCCGGGCCAGGGCGGGCAGAACGAAGCCAGTGCTGCAACGGCCAGCATATAGAGGGAGCCCTAGGAGGGACCCAGGGGCCCAATTTGTCCCCTGAAAGACACGGAGCAGTGGGCCACAGGAGCCCCCAGGCCTGGGAAGGAGGAGTGGGCAGGTGGGCGGGCAGCTTCTCCCTCGAGGCCGCTGGGGACCCTAGCCCAGTAGAAAAGCGCCCTTGAGCCCCTTGGGCGAGGGGCCACTCCCGAGGCCCCCAGTCGCCCGCTTGTCACCTGTTCCCTGGTCCTGGAGACCCACGTGTCAAGCAGCAGCTCCAGGCGGGAGTGATGGAAGGCACGGGTGGTCTTGACTGCGATGAAGACATCGTGTAGCTGCAGGTCGGGGGGCCGGGGGCTGGGCGGGCTCGGTTCGGGGGGCTCCTGCACGCCCTGGGGGAACAGGCTGGAGTGATACGGCAGGGAGAGGAGCCCCGTGCACAGAAGGGTGAGGAGGGCTCCCGCCAGGCCCCGGAGGAGCCGGCACTGCATTGGCCCTGGGACCCCGGACGGCTCAGCCCCCAGATCCCAACCGGACCAGGAGGGGAGGCCGGTCAGGCGGGGGCCCCAGCAAAGGCAGGAGTCTGGCGGGCATCGGGGACAGGCGAGGCGGGGAGGGGTGGGCGGTGGCGCTCTGGACCTGGAGGCCGAGCCATGGCAGCCGGCCGCCGCCAGCCCTCCACCTGCTCCCCTGCCCTCCTGCCGCTGGCTCTGGTGCTCCTGGCCCCGCCCCTGCCTCCAGCGCAGCCAGAGGGGCGGGGCGGCCCAATGGAGCCCCAGAGGTGGCTGAACAAGAGGCACGGGCTGAAGGACAGCCCTGGCCCTGCCAGCTGCTGCCGTGGGGGTGGGGGCAACTAACCCTCCACGCCCGGATGAAGGGAGGGCCCTCCAGCCTTCCCACTCCCGAGGGACTCTCAGCTTAGCTCATTCAACACCCATTCGTGTTTCACAGCGTCCTGTATCCAGCCTCCCAGTTTCTGCTCCACTGTTCCTCCTCCAGGATGCTCTCCCTCGTCCCCTGCCACCCTCACCCATGTTCCCTCCACCACGCTTAATTCTATTTGGACTTAAGGCTCAGATCAAGGGTTCCCTCCTCCAGGAAGCCTTCCCTGATGACCCCTCCCAACCTCTGGGGCTCCCACAGTAGTCTGCTCAGTTCCTTTGGTCTTCTCAACAGTGCTGGAATTGTTATTCCCAGTTTATAGCTGAGCACGAGGCACAGAACCATCTAGGATGATCTAGCAGCTCAGCCACAGAGCCGGGTGGAACCAAGGAACCACCTGTTCTGCTGTGGCCCACTGTACCCCGTCTCACTCAGCAGTCTTCATTGCTGCCTCTCTCCCAGCCAGGCCAGGGGACAGACAGAAGCCTTCTCCAGCCACCACTTCCGTCTTGTTTTGCATAAGTCACTCATGTATTGTCCTTCCTCTGCCAGAACCCTGCACTGGCTCCCACCTCCCTCGGAACAAAAGCCAAAGATCATACACCAGCCTCCAGGCCCTGTGTAAGCTGGTCCCCCATTACCTCCAACTCCACCTCCTACTCCTCTCCCCTTGCTGCCTCCACTCCAGGCCCATGGGCTTCTGGTCAGTCCAGGCACACATCTACCACAGGACCTTTGCACATGCTGTCCCTGCCTGGGCCTCTCCCTAGAGAACAGCACATCTCACTCTCTCACCTCCTTCAGGTCTTTACACAAATGTCATCTTCTCCATGAGGCCTTCCCGGACCACTTTATTTAAATTGCAATCGCTTCTCCCCCTCCTCCCCGCCAGGCCTGTCCTTCCTGGGCCCCCTTTTCCGCTATGCTCTCTCCATAGCACTTCATCTTCCAACATTCTGTATATTTTACTTATTGTCTGTCTTCCTTGTGAGAATACCAGGGCAAGGATCTCTTCTTTTTATTCACTGCATCCCCAGTGCCTAGAACAGTGCCTGGCACATAGAAGGAGCTCCGCAGATATCTGTTAATTAAACACAAGAAAGTACCAGGTGGCTGGTGATCTGAATGGGGCCTACTGTGGCCCAACCCTGATTAGGACTGTGGAGGGAGAGGAAAGGAAAACCACTCCTTTTGAATCACCCTCCTCTGGGCCAGCCCCATGCCAGGCCCCTTCACTGCCCGCCTTCTTGGAACAGCATCACTGAGGGAAATGAGCCCAGGCTTCGTGCCACACAGACCAGGGTTCAAATCCTGACTGGGCCACATACTAGCTGTGTGGGCAAGTTACTTCACCTCTCTGAACTTTACTTTCATTTTTTTGTAAAATGGGGACAAAAATAAGACTCAGTGAGGATTAAAGGATAGTGGGCTTCTCCACCCCATGGAAAGGACGCCCATATGCGACCAGGCAAAGGCAGCTGAGCCACGGGGCTCCCGCACCTTCACCCAGACTCATATGTCCATAGACCGACACTGGGCCAGGCACACGGCAAGGAAGGAGGAGGTTCGTTTACCCAGATGAGCACGACCTGGTCTGCATGCCCTGGGAGCCCACAGCCACCCACAGGACCCAACACCCTGCCAGGACGCAGAGCATAGCAGGCCCAGAAGTCCAAGGGTGGGGAGAACCAGGCAGGCTTCACGGAGACAGCGTCTGAGCCAGACCTCAAAGTATAGTAGGATTTAAGCAGCCCCCACACCCCAACTTGGACTTCCCAGCCTCACTTCCTACCACTCCTCGGTGGCCACTCGACCCATTTTTTGCCTCTGAGCCTTTGCTCTTGAGGTTCCCTCCACCTAGCACACCCACTCCCCCAAACTCCCAGGGGCCTGTCCAAGTTCATCACTGTGACCAAGGACAGTTAGAAGGACCAAGGACAGCACACAGGCACACAGGTCCAATAAATGCTTCTTGAAGAAAGGAATCGCAAACCCCAAGCTCAAGTGGCACCTCCTCCTGTAAGCCCGCCTGGATTTCTCCCATGGGAGGTGACGATCCTCTTTCTGATGGCGTTTCTTCGGGACCTGATTGCACACTGAAGGTTTGTTCTTAGTCTCCTGGCAGCCAGGCCTCTTAAGCCTAAGACCACACCCTGCTGGCCTCGCTCCAGGGGACACTCCTTTGAAGATCAGACTCAGGCAGGGCTGTGCGCGGGGGTGGCCCATCTGTGGGGCCCTCCTCTGGTCATTCGGGGGCAGGTAAGGTGATGCCAGCACAGATGGTGGGCGGCTCTGGGATGAGTCAGGAGCGAAATCTGACCCTCCCAATGGGCAAGTGGGGACCTGAAAGGTGGTATCAGCATGAGCTGGGGGTGGGGACAAGTCGGGGGAGCGGGGAGGGGGGACAAGGCCACAGAGGCAAGCAAGCAACCGGCCACTAGCTTCTATGACAAACCGTTTAATGTTCCACAATGTGCAGCTTCTGAGTGAAAAAGGCCCATTAAGAATCCACGAGCCGTACATTCTGGTGACAGAGCAGCCAGCCCCTCCCCGCCGGTCCCTCCGAGAGGCAGGCAGGGCAGGGAGCGGGTGCTGTGAGAACATGGTCCTGGGTGTGCTCACCGGGAACACACGGGGTGGGGCATGACATTGACAGGAGAGAACCATGGACACGTGCGACTAAGACACAAAGGACAGGGGCCGGCCCCATGGCTTAGTGGTTAAGTGCGCGCGCTCCGCTGCTGGTGCCCGGGTTCGGATCCCAGTCGTTCACCGACGCACCGCTTGTCAGGCCATGCTGTGGCGGCGTCCCATATAAAGTGGAGGAAGATGGGCACGGATGTTAGCCCAGGGCCAGTCTTCCTCAGCAAAAAGAGGAGGATTGACCGATGTTAGCTCAGGGCTGATCTTCCTCACAAAAAAAAAAAAAAGACACAGAGGTTACCTCAGGGCTGATCTTCCTCACAAAAAAAAAAAAAAGACACAGAGGGCACAGGGGACAGCAGACCAGGGAAGCCACGAGGCCCACATGTGGAGGTACACACAAGAAAGTGAGCTGGACGGCAGGAGTCACGTGTGACGGGCTCGGGGCTCCTACGAGCAGAGCGGGCTGAGAACCTGGGAGACTCACGTGCCGGGGGGTGGGGACAGACGTCAGCCTGACCTGTGAGAACTTGGGTGTGCAAACCTGTGCATGGGAATGAGAACTCAGATGCTCCGGGTGAGCAATGAGGGAGAGGACGCAGACACGTGCATGAGACCCATGAGAGGGGACACGGAGACACAGGGGCACACGGGAAGACCCAGAGCAGCAAGGACGGGGCGATGGGAGCTCTGCGCCAAGGGCCCTCGCAGGCTCACTCCGGGGAGAGAGCCCAGAGCCGAGGGCCCCCCATCAGAGAGTCCAAGGGTCCAGGAAGGCTCAGGATGGGGAGGGGCCGGCTCCACTGAAGACACCAGGGTCCCGCTGGCAGCTTCTGAAGTGCGTGAGGAGGGCCTAGGAGGGGCCCTCAGGCCTCGCTGCTGCCACTGCCTCTGCTGCTGCCGCGCTCCACCCACACGAGGCGGGCCTGCTCCTGCAGGATGCGGCCGCGCACCACCTTGGCCAGCTCCTCCGCGTGGCCCCACGCGTGCGCGGGCACTTGCACCCAGGAGCAGGGCAACCCCCAGAGCACCTGCTCCGAGCCCCGGCACTGCCGCAGCAGCTCCGAGTCCCGCCAGCCCGGCCGGCCCAGCAGACCCCTGCCAAGAGAGGAGAGTGGACGGCGGTCACAGTGGGGGACGAAGACAGACAGAGACAGAGGGGGATGGACTAAGACAGGGAGAGTCAGAGAGAGAGGACGGACAGGGAGACAAAGAGAGACAGATGGCAAACAGTGAGATGGAGAAGAGACAGACAGAGACACAGAGACACAGAGACAGAGACACAGAGACAGAGAGGAGGCGGTGCTGGGGTCCCACTCCTCCCCCCAGCCCGCCTCACCTGACTTCCCGGACATTCTTCTCGGTCACCTCCACGTGGATGACGATGGGGTAGATGTCGTTCTGGACCAGCTCCCGCACACCCCGCACGCCCAGCTCCAACAGACAGTGCTTCTTCTCGGGGGGCGAGGCTACATTTTACTCCCAGCCCAGAGACCCTAACCTCCCTGCCCCCCCACTGGGCCCCACGGCACAGCCCCCACAGGGTCCTGCCTCCCCATCCAGGGGACCTTGGCAGCGAGGAAAGAACAGGAAAGGAAGGCGGGAGACCTGGGGAAATAAGTCACTTCCCCCTCTGGACCTCCCCGCCTGTAGGATGGGGCTAACCCCACCCCCCACCCCCCAGCCCCACAGCCCCCCACCAGCTCCCAGGGGAGTGCCGAGTTTGAGGACAAGGACGAATAGGTGGGATGTACCAGCCAAACACCTCAGGGGGAACCACACGAGGCCGACTGCCCCAGCCCGGCCACATCACAGTGGGGAGTTAGCCAGAGTCACCGCAAGTGAGCCACAGGCCTGCCCTCAGACTTGGGCTCTCAGGCCCAGAGTCCCCCCGCCCCCGCACCTACCTTCCCGACAGACTCCTGGATGGCGCGGATCCGGCTGCCCAGCCCGGGGGTGGCGGGCCAGGCCTTGGGGGCTCCAGGTGCTGAGGACGTGCACTGTTCCTCCCCAGAGAGGCTTTCTGCAGAGTGGGGAGAGGCAGTGATGAAGGGCCAGGGAGGCTGGCCGCCCCAGGGTGCCACCCCACCCCCTCTCCTGGCACACAGGCTCACCTGCTGGGCACACTTGGAAGTCCAGCCGGGAGCTGGGCAGGTCCAGCAGGTTGCGGATGAGGCGGGGCGCCAGGCACTCGGGCAGGAGCACCACGGGCCGCAGGGCGGACACCAGCAGCGGCCGCACCAGGCTGTAGGGTTTGAGGCTGCGCTCTGGCTCTGCGGTGGGGAGGGGTTCAAAAGAGATGAGGGTACAGGCAGGGCCCCGGCTCCCCTCTCCTAGATACTCAAAACCCCATCACCTCCTCACAAGCCCCCCATCCTTTTTGCCTCCCTAAGTCCTCCCGATGCTCCTCTTACACGTGCGCGCGCGCGCACACACACACACACACACACACACACACACACAGGAGAGCTGCCCCCTCCCTCACTGGGACCACTGCAGTAGGCTCCTCCCTGACCCTCTGCCTCACCCCTGCCCCCTACAGGCCATTGTCCACTCAGCAGCCGGAGAGAGCCTTTAAAACTCAAGTCAGATCCTGTAACTCTCCTGCTTTCAATGCACCAGTGACTTTCCATGGCCCTCAGGAAAAAGGCCACATCCTCCACGTGGGTGACCCAGCCCTGCCAGAGCCCGGGGAGGCAGCGAGTCACGTGCCCCATCAGACTCTACTCCTGCCTCACAGATCAACCACCTCCTACCACAGGGCCTTCGCACGCCCTGGGAAGGCCACAACCCCGCCCCTGCAGGGCCTCTCCACGTGCTCCATGGGACCCAGTTCTCCTCCATTACACGTCACACTTTTTAATTATGTTCACAGGTGTGATGATCTCATCAGCAGGCATCTGCCTCCTGCCCCCTACTAGGCACTACACTCCAAGGGGGGGACCACTGTGTCCCTTGGACCGAGCACAATGCAAGACAGAGCTGGTGCTCAACATCCCCTCACTGTACTCAACGTCCTCCAAACACACCACACACAGCCATGCCTCTGTGCCTTTGCACAAGCTGTGCCAGCTGCCTGGAACAAACTCCTCTTCATCCTTAAAGGCCCCAGTTCAAACAATCTCCCTTCCAAGAAGTCTTCCCTAACCACCCTCTCCTCTCCTCCTGGCCCCTCAGAATTGCTACCCCCTTATCTGGGCTCCCCCAGTCCCTTCTCCCTGATCTGGCCCGAGGCCTCACCCTACTGCCTCCAGGAACCCCCTGGGGTCCACCTGGCACCTGCTGCCCCCCACGTGTGAGAAGCACAGCCACACATGCTCTGCCAGACGAGAACAGGCCCACGCTCAGGCGTGCCCTGAACTCATACAGACCCACAATCACATTCACACGCACGCCTCCCCCCACCGGCTCCCTCAGCCCTGGCGGCCCATCTCCCACCAGGGGAGCCTCGCCTCTCAGGCCCCCGCCCCCACTGGGACCCTTCCACAGGCCCTTCCAAGCCAAAGGACACACAGGTGTGCCCACCCCAGGACATGGCGAGCCACGCAGATCGCACCCTCACCCGAGCAGGGCTCCAGCAGCAGCTGCTCTGGGGGCTCCCCCGCAGGGCTCCCCAGGTGCTTGGGCTTCACCAGCCGCAGCTGGTCCAGGGCTCGCTTCTTCAGCTGGGGAGGAGGCAGGGCGTGAGGGACACCTGAGGGCCCAGCTCCATCCCACCCTCAGGGAGAAGGGAGAGTAAACGGGACCCTAGGCAGAGAGGGCCCCACTACCACTGCTGTCCAGGGCCTCTGGGTCAACACAAGAGCCCCCTGCCCACTAGGCCTTCTCCTGCCCCCACTGGGCCGGGCGCAGCCCCCCAGGTAGGTGAGGGCAACCATCCCTACAGGCCCAGGAGAGCAAGCCTGTCAGAGCCAGTTAGAGCCAGAGGAGCCTTAGGTGCACTCCCACTTTACAGATGGGGAAACCGAGGCCCAGAGACCAGAGGAACCTAATGTCACATAAGAGACAAACTCTGGGGTCTCTTCCCATGAATCAGCAATGTGACCTCAGGTAGGAAGATGAATGACAGCAGCAATTACACCGACAGCGGACAGGCATCGGAAGCCTACAACGTGACAACATGAACTAGGCCCCTGGCGCGCATGAACTCATTGCAGCCTTCCTCTGCCCACCAGGCAGGAGCGTAATTCCCGCATTTTACAGATGAGGAAATAGACCCTCCAGGGAGGGTCAGACGCTGTCCAAGGTCACATGGCTGATAAGCAGCAGGGCTGGGATCCAATCCAGGCAGCCTGGCTCCAGAGGCCAGGCTCTCAACCCCGCTCTCGTGCCACAGCCTCTTGAGTTACTTAACGTCTCTGAACCTCACTCCCTTATCCAGGCATTGGCAAAGGCGATGTGGCTGTTGTTCTGTTAAGCGCTTACCACGCCCCACGCACACGGCACATCTATCTCAGTCAATCCTCTCCACTGCTCTGGACATTAACCCTGTTGTTGTTCTGTTTGCTGGGCACTCAGACGATCCACCAGGTCGGGGTGAAGGAGCGGGTTGGGGGCCTCTGTCCTCTCCTCCCCCAGGGCGTGGAGCCTGACCTCTCCCTTCTGGACCCCACTCTTGGCACCCCCTCCCCCCAGGCCCTCGCCCTGCCCACTCAGCCCTGCTTACGTTACTGCGGGGCCCTCGGTGCCGGCTGGAGGGCAGGCATTTCTCCTGAACTTCTAGGAGCTGCTGGGCTCTGTAGGGGAAGCATGTCAGGCGTTTGTAGGGAGAAGCGGAGCCCCTCACCTCCTCTTCTCCAGCCCCCCATCCTGTCCCGGAGGATGGTGAGGGACTGCAGGAGGAGGGAGACAAAGTCCCCCACCCCAGTCCCAGCTACCAGGGGACCCCGTTCCCAGGCCCCTGGCTCTGTGTCACCTCTGGTAATTGGGCACAGTGCCCCGGTCCAGGTCGCGCAGCGTGAGGGGGTCGACCCGGGTGCAGAACCACTCCCGCCGCCGCTTGTACGCTGGGTCCAGCAGCCGCAGGATCTCCTGGGCTTTCACGCATAAGGCATGGGGGTCGGCCCGCTCGGGCAGGGTGAGGTTGGCTCGAATGTAGAAAGGCTCAGCACACAGCCCCTTCACCCAGGCGTCCAGGGCCTCATGGAAGGACTGGCAGGCTGGGCATGGACAGGGCAGGGGCAGCAGGGAGGACAAGAAGAGGATGAAGTCAGGGATCGGCCTCGGAGAGGCCAAAGACACGGCCCTCCCGAGGCCCGAGCTGTCAAGACTCCTCCCTCCCCTTCTTAAGGTGAGAGTCTGAGGCCCAGAGAGGGTGGGCACTTACTCATGGCCACCAAGCCCACTAGGGACAGAACCAGGACTCCTATCGAGTGCTCCTTTCACTGCAAGATGCTCACTGAGGACAGGACAGAGGAAGGGCACAAGAAGCGACTACCACCAAGAAGGCAGCGGTGTTGGAGCGACAGGCACTGCCAGGAGGCTGGAGGCGGAGCGTCTCCCTCCTGGGCCTCCATTATCCCACTGGCACCGTGCCGGGGATGAGCCCTCTCTGGGCCCTCAGCTCTGACCTCCTGGGACTCGCAACTTCCCAGTCCTCCCCACAGGCCAGACTTACCCTTGTCGTCCAACAGGAAGGGGAGCGTGGACACCTGGTTCCAGGGCAAGGTTCTCTGCAGGGCCTCGCCCTCCAAGCCCGCCCCCTCCAGGCCAGCAGCCTCGGCCCTTGGCTGGGAGAAAACCCGGGCAGGGAGGGAAAGAAGTGAGCCTCCCAGCCCTGGGGCTGGAGGAATGCCGGGTGGGGAGTGGGGGGTGTGGGTGACCGTGTCTCATATTCAGATACCCCCACTTCACAGGGGGTTGCCCGGGCAGACCCTGCTCCGCTCCACAGGACGGCCCGCCCAGCCTGGCTCTCTCCCACGTTTAAGGGCGGGATCTGTCCACGTGCTGTCAGTCTCCCCGACCTCCCAGCCCCTGCCCACTCCTATTTCATTTAACGCTGGCTGAGGCGAGAAAACCAGCGATTAATCACGGAACCTGCCTCTGCTCCGGCCAATCCCCAGAAACACCGCCCAGTGACCCAGATCTACCAATCAGAGGGCGTCCAGCCCCGCCCGAAGCATTGACCCCGCCTCCAGCTCAGAGGGGAGGGGCCTCACCTCTCTTGGTTCCGCCCTGGCCGACCCGGGCCCAGAGAGCACCCTCCGCACCACGGCCCCGGACCAGCTGTCCCCAAGGAACGACGAGCCATCTGGGCCCTTGTCCTGGGGCTCCGGCCCCCCCGGGGGGCTCCGGCCAGACACCCGGATGGCCAGAGACCTGAGAAGAAAGACGGGAGATGGGAATCAGAGCTCAGTGTGTTTTGATTCAGTTCAACATTCCTGGACAACCACAGCGATTCCCGAAGTGCGCCATGACTCCCACCCCCGGGCCATTGCACCTGCTGTGCTCGCTGCCTGGAATGCGCTTCCCCTTCTTCTCTGCCTGGGAAATTCTGCTCATCCTTCAAAGCTCAGGTCAAGAGCCACCTCTCCCTCCCGACCCCTGGCCGGCTTCCTGCAGGAGCGCACCATCTGCACCTTGCCCTGGGTATGCATCTTCCTTTTTGTTTCCTGCACCAGAAGGAACACCCTCGGAACCAGCCTTCCATCGTGCTCTGGATCCCTAGCACCAAACATGTGTCTGGCACAGAGCAGATGACTAATAAAAGCTTGTCGTGCTCACAGTCTAGGGAGGGAGGTCGCCATTAGAACACGGCGGCAGAGATCAGAGATGGTTCCGGCCGGCAGTGGGAGCACAGGGGAGCGGCTTCCCAGAGGAAGCCCAGCTGGGCCACCCCGCGGGGTAGAAGAGAAGCCCGTCGGAAACAGACAGAGGAGATGCTGTTCCAGGCTGAAGGGCTGGCATGGGCAAAGGTGTGGAGGGCAGAACACAGGAGGAGTGGAAGAGTTTAATCACAACAATAATAACAGTAACAGCAAACACTCCCTGGGTGCTTCCCATGTGCCAGACGCCACGCTAAGCTCCTCACCCTAATTAACTAATTTAACATCCTGGGAAAGAGCTCCCGGAAAAGGCAAGCAGGAGTGAGCCTGTGGAGGGCACGGAATGAGGACGTCTGGCCTTCCTCTCGTGGGCAGAGGGAACCACTGAGGGTTAAGACAAAGAGTCACCAAGATCTCCATCGTGGCAGGGCTCTGCCTGTCCCTGGAGGAGAACTGGTGAGGCCCTGGGGCCAGGCTCAGAGACAATGGACCGGAATTCTCTTCCAGGACCCCCTGGCCATGGGATTAGGGAAGGGGAGAGGCCAGAGTTAGTGGGTGTGCCCAGCTGAAGAGGAGGCCCAGGTGGAGCCCGGGTGTCCTCCCACCTCCCCACCCACCCTCATAGCAGCAGCGCACAAAGCCACACTGCCCCCTGCTGCCAGCCTGGGGCGGGCAAGGCTGCAAGGCCCTGAACAGAATCAACACCCAGGTGGAGGGCGATCTTTGAGCCTGGGGAGCCCGTCTCAGCTCCTGGCCCCTCAGTCAAAACAGAGAGCCAGGCCAAAGGGCTGCGGCTGGACAGGGGTGCTGGGGTGTGGGCACTGCCTTCTCAGGCTCCTTCAGCCCCGGGACTGGCCTGGCTGCACCGAGGTGGTGTGGAAAGGCCTGGACAGAGTTGGGAGGCCTGATGCCGAGCCTGGCTATGCTGCCCAATGGCCGTATGGCTGGAGCAACGCTGTCTAGCTCCAAACCCCAGCGTTAACTGTGCCCTAGACACGGGCGAGTGAACGGTGCTTGGTTCTGTCACCACGTCCATCAAGCAAGGACAATGAGGGCACCCGTCTCCACTGTGGGATGTAGGGATAACGCAGGAAGAGGTGGAGGCCAGAGGGCTCCGGGGGCTTCCAGCCGCAGGCCTGCCCCTAGTGGGCTGTGAAATTCTGTGTTTAAGCGGAATGGAACAGAAGGCCTCAGGCTGCCTCCCCCCAGGTAAACCCGACGGTTGCCTCGTGACCCTTTTGTCTCAGGCATGTGTTCTGGTTTCTGGGTTTCTCTCTCTGTGGGCTGCAGTCAGCAGAGTTTGAGGCAAGTAGCACAGAGGGCGCCGGCAGGAACTCGGGGGCCAGACGGCCCAGCCGCTTAACCTCAATCCTCAGCAGCCCGTCTGCGTCTACTACCTCATTGTGAACTGCAGGAGCTGAAATAGAGGACGCTCTTACAACAGTGCCCGGCGAAACTAACGGCTCAGGGAAACCCAGACGTTCACAGTCACCGGGTGTGATTCAGAGCAAGCCACCTCTCCGTGGGCCCAGTAACCCCACCTGTTACAAACCCAGACAGCTGACCATCACGGCTTCCCTGGTTGAGGGCCCAGCCAGCAGCATGCACCAGGCCCTCCACGCCCCACCTGCCCACGCCTCCCCCGCACGCCCCTCCCCCCGCGGCTCCAGCGTCAGGGCGATTCCTCGGCCACCCCAGGTTTTCAGCCTCTTCTTGCCAACTCCTGCTGCTCCCTGAGACCCAGCTTGGCACCCGCTCCTTCAGGACGCCCTTGCCCACCTCCCCCAGGGACCAAGTGACTTCCCTGAGCCTCCACCGCCCCGGGCTACCAGCTCTCAACACTTTTCAGAGTCCACCTGGGGCTCGCAGGGACAGAGTGCAGATCAGGCCCCTCTCAGCCCCAGGCCTCCGCAGACGAGCGGGTCAGGGAAGAGAGAGGAACACGGCGGGCGGCGGGGGCTGCCTGCTCCAACCTCCCGGGACTCCTGGGTCTCCAGCAACACAATCTCCATCCACAGGGATGGACCCCAACCCTGCCTGTGGGCAGCGGGAAGGATGGGGTCCCCGTCCACCAGGTGAGGGCTCCCAGCCCCAGTGTTAGGTCAGGAGGTCGGGTCACAGGGGAGCAGAGGGGAACAGGGCCAGTCCTTCACTCTGCCAGCTCTGAGCAGTGATGGGCCAAGAGGCCTCGATAAGTGTCCCCCTGCCCCAGGGCACTGTGGGAAGATCTCTAGGCGTGTTCGTGACTGCTTTGTTCCAGGTCAGGGACCTATGAGGCTGAGACCTAAGCTCGTCACACAGATTACCTCATTAATCCTCCCCACAGCCCTATGGGAGGCATCTGTTATTCCCCCCATGTTAGAGAAGAGGGAAACTGAGGCACAGAGAAGTTATCACTTGACAAGTGTTGCACAGCTGTGGGTGGTGGAGGCAGGCAATGACCTATTCAGACCCTCTCTGTGCAAGGACGGAAGTGCCGGCCATTGGGTGTCTACAACACAAGTGCGGGCGGGGCGGGGCCTGCCAGGGAGACAGCACCCTGATATTCTCCCAGTGCCCTCCCTACCTGCCCCCGACTCAGTGCCCCACTTGCACTCTTGGGCTCTTCCTCACTGTCTCCTCACCTGTCCATCTGTCTTTCCAGCCTTCGGCCTGCCCCAGCACGCCCACCGTCCATCATCCTCTGCTCTGCCCCAAGGCCCTAGAGCCAAGAAGAGCAGGAGAGAGCAGAGGGCTGAAAACGCCCAGCACACGGTGAGGACTCAACAGGAGCGTGCGGTGAAAAGTAGCTTATTGGGAAGGAAGGCACAGTGGAATCCCCAGCTCCACCACCACGCGGCCTGGGGACAAACTCCTGACTCTCCCTGAGCCTCATTTCCCCCATCTGTATAATGGGGCTAAAACTCCCAGCCTTGCAAGGCTCTCTGAGAATTAAGCAAGAACAGCGACAATAATAATAGCTAACAGCTAACATCACCATCACTGTGAGACAGACACTGTTCTGAGCTCTCTAATAGGAATACTGGAACCCCCACAATGACCCTGGGGGACAGGAACTATTGCGACTGCATTTCACAGAGCAGGAAACTGAGGCACTGGGAAATGGACCTGCCCGAGGCCCCACGGTACCAAGTGACAGAGCCGGGATTTCAGCCAGCCCCCAAATCTGTTCTGCCCCACTGTGCTGTCACGTTACCCCAGCACCTCGCCTCCCTCTGCCTGTTCGTCCACCTCCTTCTCAGTCCACTACCCCCGCTCCCACCCCGATCTGTGTTCTCCCCCATCTCCCTCCTTTCCAGGAACGGCGTGGGCAGCAGAGGTGGCCCCGTGTGATCGTGGGGCCCGGGCGGGGGCTGGGCCAGAACCTCCTGCTCCCTCTGCCGCATCCCGGCGCCCCCTGGACAGCAGCCAGGACCCCTGCTGCCGGCCGGAGCTGGAGGAAGGGAGGAAGGGCCGAGGCAGGCAGGAAGGGAGGCACCTCCGTCCCTTCCCCCAGAAGCACGTCCTGCATGGGGAGAAACAATGTCGCACTGGGCCTGCTGCCGGGGGTGAGGGTGGGGGCAGGGGCCTGGACACGGGCCTGGCCAAGCTGCTTCCAGGAGGCAGGAGCTTGGTCCTGCTCTGCCTGACTTCTCGTGTGACCTGGCCTCTGTATCCGGCGTCCCCACGTTCCAGCTTGGACATTCAGTGCTTCCTACACCCTTTCCAAAAACCCAAATCTGATCAAGTCGCTGGGACCTTGGCCCTGGCACTCCCCAGCTGTGCGACCCCAGGCAAGTCGCTTAAGCTCTCTGAGCTTCAGTTTCCTCTTCTATCAAACAGGGGTGACCATAATAACACCTACCTTCCCAGACAGAGAGAATAAACTCCCAGGACAGAAAATGCTGTCAGGCGGCTAGCAGCTGGCCCTGCACTTACTAATAGCTCAGCCCTCCCAACTTCCCAGGATGCACACACCAAAGTCCACACTTCCCCAGCCTGACTCACACAGCCGGCTGTGACTCAGCCCAGCCTCGACTTTCCCCCTCTCCTGCTCAAGCTCCAGTGACCGCCAAACTCCAGGCCACCCCTGGACAGCCTCTGCTCTCTCCGCGCCCAGTCACCCAGCTGCCCTCCCCACCTGCTCTCGCTCCACGGCTGAGGTCAAAGGCCACGTCCTCAGCTCGGCCCCCTCTATCGCCCGCCCCTGAGATGGGAGGGCGGGGGCGGGACACTCATGGACCAGCACTGACGGAGCACACCGCCGGCCATGCACTCTGAGCCAACGTGTTTCGTGACTCCTGTCATGGGCTTGGGGCCAGCCCAGCTGCAGGGGCTCCCGCGGTGGCCCCACTCCACCCACTGCACAAAGCTTTGCTGGGCTGCTCAGTCCTGCTGGGAGCTCAGAGCCGGGGAGGATGGGCAAGTAGAGTGTCAGTGCAAGCAACAATTACCATGTACTAAGCACCTACTAAGCACCTGGCAAAGCCGGGTGCTCTCCTGACATGAGTTCTAACCTCAACAACACCCACACGCAGAAGAGATCACTGTCCCCCTTTAGCCGATGCAGAAACTGAGCCCAGAGAGGTGAGGTGACCGGCCCAAGTCACCCAGACGATAAGCAGCGGTGACAGGATTTGAATCCAAGGTCGGCCTGTGTCTAAAAGTCTTACTATTCTGACAGATGCATAAGGCAAAGGCCCAGCAGCTGCTCTCTCCCCCTCGCCCCTGCTCGCCCTCTCCAGGAATCCAGGACCCGGCCCCCCAGCTCCACCACCCCAGGCAGCCGGGTACCTGTTGAGGAGATCCAGGCCACAGCCTCTGGCCAGGAGGCAGTCCGGCTTTCCCAAAGGCCACACGCTGTCGGAGGACGAGGACGAGGAGAGGCCGGGGGACCAGGGCTTAAGCGTCACGCTCCCTGGGGAGGAGAAGAGGGGTTCAGAGGTGCTGGACTGAGAAACAGGGGAGGCCTGGGGTCCACGAGAAGGAGCTGAGCCCCAAAAGCCCAGAGATGGCCAAGGGCCCAGAGGCCTGGGGCCTGCCAGGGTGACCCTTCAGTGTCCTGGAAGAGGGTAGAGGGTGGGCTGGAATAGAGGAGGAGCCCCAGACAATTCAGCCAGGAACAGGAGAGAGGACGGGCCTGGGCTCAGGGGGACAGGTGTGAACCAGCTCCCCCAGGGGCCTCCTGAGCAGAGCCTCCCTGCCTGGCCAGGGGGGAGTGGGGCCTCAGGGAGGGGGACGCAGGCCAAGGGCAGAGCAGGCAGCATAGGCCTCAGGTGGGCTGAAAAGCCACCCCCCAGATGAGCCCTCCACACAGAGTCCCCAAGGGCCATTACCTGTGATGTCCGACATGCTGCTGAAGGACCTGGCAGAGAGAGGGTGGCGAGGGGGCAGGCGCTGAGGCACGGTGGGCACTCTGCCCCACCCTCATCTCCTGCCCCCGGGCCACCAAAAGGTCCTGCAGCCCCCAAGCACATGCAGGCCAGACCCAAGGCAGGGGTCCCAGGCACAGGGCACGCATGCCACCCAGCTCCCCTAAACCCACAGGGCGAGAAGCTAACGTCCTGACCTCTGCCCATGTCCTTCCACCTAGAATGCCCTGGCCCATCCTTCAATGCCACCCCCTCCTGGAAGCCTCCCCTGATCTCTCACTCCTACTTTCTACCTTTGTCATTCGTGGCTCCCAGGTCTGCCTCCCACACTAGACCGTGACCTGCTCATCGCAGGCCCCAGTCACAGCGGATTCACTCATCGGATCAAGCCCATGACAGGGGACGTACCCCAGGAGGCGGGACACCTCGCCCTTGGTCCTGACCCCAGCAGATATGGCCTGGTTTTTCTGGCTGCCCCGTGCTGCTGATGCCTGAACGTGCGCTGGCTTTCTTGCCTGCAGTCCCTGACCCCTTGGAACATTCTCTGTGTCCCTAGTCCTGAACCATCCAGGCTTTCCCTGGATTTAGGATTTTTGAGGCCTGACCTCCAGTGACTCTCCTGCCAGGGTGCCTTTTGGCCTGGTCTTAACCCCTGACCTCGGTCACGCCCATGACTCTTGGGACCGGGGTTTCCAGAGCTCCAGTGATGTCAGGCCAGTAAAGGGAGGTGACGGCCTGGACCCAACTCGGGCATTAGGGATTCTGGGAGGTGGCTGCTTCGGGAAATAGCAGCACCAGCTCCCTGGGCCTCTACTGCTCTCCCCCCAGCCCGTTACCTCTTCGGGGGTGCGGGGTCCTCCTCGCGCTGCCGGCGGAGGATGGAGCCTGCGCTGGGGGGGAAGGGCAGGATGGAGAGCCGGTTGATCTCCTTCTCGCTGTCTGTGGCCTCCTCCTGCAACACCACAACGGGCCTGCTCACCCCCACTGTACCTTCCCACAACCCAACGCCCCTGGATTGTGCCCATTTCACAGATGAGAACTAGGGCCCAGAGCAGAGGCATGGGCTCTGCGAGGTTACGGCGTGTGGGTGGCTCCCCGTCTCCTGGCACCCAGGCCTGGGCCCAGCCCCGAGCTGGCTCTGGGTGAGCTGGAACAAGGCACTTGGCCCTCGTGGGCCTCAGTTTCCTCACACGTGAAACGGTGTCCCGCCCCACATTTGGGGTAGGGCAGGGGTCTTACCGAGGTGAGGGGCTCAGATCCTCCCGTGACAGCTGCCTCCCCGGCTGCTTCCGGGCCCCCCAGCGGGGAGGGGAACTCGCTCAGGCTCCAGGTGCTGCTCAGGTTGGAGCACAGGGAATGGGAGGAGGCGCAGGCCTGGGAGAGGAAGGGGTGGGAGGGGTCAGCAGTGCTGGGCCGGGGCCAGCCACAGCCATTTACTGAGCGCCGGCCGTGTGCCAGGAACAGGGACACAGTGGGGAACGAGGGAGCTGGATCCCTGCCCTCATGGAGCTCACAGCCTAGCGGAGGGAACAAACTGTACACAAACAGACAGATGAAGGAAATAACCCCATGCTGCCAAGAGAGCAGAGAAGAAAGGTATCCAGGGTGGGGAAGGCACTCAAAGACCCCACCCAGCCTGGGGTCATCAAAGTGCCTGGTTCCAGAGAAAGTGTAGTTTGAAGTGAGAACTCAAGGATAAGTAGGTGTTAAGTAGATAAAGTTACGGAGGATGGTCTAGGCAGCTAGAACAGTATGTGCAAAGGCCCTGAGGCAGGACTGTGACACATCCCAGGAATTAAAAGGCTGAGACCCAGAGAACCAGGCTAGAAGGAGGGAGGGAGGGAGGAAGGGGCCCATCCAGCAGGGCCTCTAGGGCATGGTAAGGGGCTTTGTCTTTACCTAAAAGCAAAAAAGTCACTGAGGGTTTTAAAAAGTGAGAAATCACAGATTCACGCCTCCTGCTCTATTCCTCTAGGCATTAAACACCTGGCATACTGATCATCTTCAAGCAAACCCAAGAGAGGAAAAGGCAGAGTTCCTGGCAGAGGTCCGAGGACCAGTATCTGGTTTACAAGGGGTCTGGGGGCCCAGCTCCAGTGCCTGCTGGCTGCGTGACCTTCGGCAAGCTTCTGACCCTCTCTGGGCCCTGTGCAATGACGGAATTGGACCAGCTGGGCTCAGAGGGACTTCAGGGCCCATGTTTTGCATTCTAAGATGCTCACAGGCCCTAGGGCAGCCGGGCTTCTCCAAGTGCATGCAAAGAGAGGCTTCAGACTATTCCTAGCACCCAAGGAGCAACCCTCAAAACTCAGACACCCACACGCTCCCGTCCTATTCCCTGATGCCCCAACCCACACCCGTCCCAGCCAGAGGCTCCCACTCCCGCCACGACCCCGGCACCCCCACCAGGGCCCTTGGACTCGGGACCCCGCTCACCTTGAGGCAGGGGCTGCCCTGGACCCGCTGCAGCTGAGCCTCCAGCAGGGCCTTGGCACCCTCCAGGCCGGTGAGCGTGCTCAGCAGCTCGTCGCGCTCGGCCTCCAGGCCCCGCACCTGCTTGCGGTACTGGTCCTTCTCGATGAGGCTCTGCGAGTACTGCAGCTGGATGCGGTCGCGGCTCTGGATGGCCTGGGGGAGGCACGGGAGGGGCTGGGGCCAGCGGCAGAAGGAGCCACGCTGGCTCCGCTGTCCTGGCCTCCCGACTCTCAGAGGGGGGTGGCCACCGGACCAGCAGCCGACGTTTACTAAGTGCCTCCTGTGTGCCGGGCCCTGTGCTAAATATCAGCTCGCTGACCCCCACACTAACTGTCCAAGTTAGAGATTCTCATTATTCTCATCTTACAGTAGGGAAACCAAGCCGCAGGGCGAGAGCCGGGATTCACACCGAGGCAGTCCAGCTGCAGAGGCCAGGCTCTTAACTTTCCCGAGAACAACGTAAAACTCTTCTGAGACCAACCGTGTGCCGGGGGCTTCATCCACGGCATCGGTGTTAGTGGAGGAGCCTGGGTTCAAACCCAGCCCACGGCACACTGACCACTTTCCCCATAACGAAGACCAGGTCCCTGGGAGCTGGGCCCGTGGCCGGGACCTGCCGCCCAAAGCCTTCAGGGGGGGCTGGGGCCAGAGGCCCAGGGGCTGGGGGCAGCCTGGTGAGGTGCAGATTCCTGGGCCCACCTCAGACCACCAGAGTCAGAACATCTGGGGATGGAGCCTCCACTGTGCATTTTCACCAAGCCCACCAGGGGGTCCTGAGGTCCATACTAACGTGAGGACTTCAACTCCTCTAGTGGGACTGGTCCAGGGACAAAGCCTCGCGCCCACCCCCCACATGGGGAGCCTCACACAAGGAGGGCTGGGGGCCTGGAGGAACTGGCCTGGGGTCCTCAGCCCACCCCTTGCCCTCAGGAGATGGGGGCCGTGGTACCCAGGGCCTGGGAGCCAGACCTTTTGAGAATGTCTTCATGAGCAAATATTTGCAAGCACCTCCCTGCGTAGACCTCGTCCTTGCCATGGAAGGAACAAGGGATTCAGAAATGCAGGGCGCCAGGACCAGCTTCCGTAACTGTCCCCGGAGCTCAGGTGAGGCAGGTGTGTTCGAGGGGCAAGGCTGGCAGATCTCAGCACCAGGTCCCATGTCTGTTTCTCCTGGCCTACCTGTCCCATCCTACACCGACCAGTGCCCTGTTAAAGTCTTTTCCTACTAGTCTCGTCCACCACTCCTCGTCTGCCCCTGTACCAGAAGCATGGCCGGACCAGGGCTGCGCGCACAGCAGGCTGGGCTCACCTGGTCCCGCTCCTTCTCGATCTCCTCCAGCTGGGCCAGGACGGTGGCCATGCGGTGCTTATACAGGTCGCAGTCCTTCTGCAGCGTGCGGTGCTTCAGCCGCAGGTCCTCCATCTCCTGCAGGTACTGTGGGTGGGGCAGGGTGCCCAGGTCAGACCACAGGGCTGGGGGCGGGGGAGCTAACCAGCAGGTGCCCAGCAGGTCCAGGGAGAGAGGCCTGAGCCCCAATAACAAGTGCCCGTCTCCACAGCTGTGTGGCCTGGGCCACTGACTTCACCTCACTGGGCCTCAGCCACCTAATCTATAAAATGGGGACAGCAATAATAATGACACCCTCCCGGCCAACTGTGGCCTCCCCGTGTAAACTGTAATCCACCCCCTTCCCCTGTCCTGCTTGTTCCTTCTGCTGCATGAAGTAAATGACTAAGGATTACGTGCATGGCTACTGTCTGTCTCCCCTGCTGGAATTTACCCTCCACAGGAGCCGGAACCTTTGTTCTGCTCACTGATGTATCTCGATAAATATTTAAGAATGAATGAATGCACGGTTTCTAGCACAGTGCCTTCAGGAAAGGTCGGTGAAATAAACCGATGATGTCCACCACCCTGCCCTCCCCAGGAGCCGGGCTGTGGGCAAGCAGGAAGGTGGGGGCCAGGCAGGGGAGGACGGGGTGCACGGGGGACACTACCTTGTCCCGCAGCTCCTCGGCCCACTGCAGCTCCCCCTGCACGGCGTGCAGCTTCTGGCATAGCTCCTGCCTGCTGTCCTGAGCCTCCCGCCAGTCGTGCTCCAGGATGTCCAGGAGGATGCGCTCCGAGCCTGGGGCCCCCGGCCGGCTGGCCTCCTGGGGGTCAGAGTTCACAGCCGCCTCAGCCTCTGGGCCAGGGCCCTCCGTGAGTGTGGCGGGAGGGGGACACACAGCCCTCAGCCCTGGGACCCACCCCACTAGCTCCGCCACCTTGGCTGAGGGCCGTGACCTCTCTGGACCTCGGTTTCCCTGTATGTAGAGTGGGTGTGGCCCCAACTAGCCCTGCCCGCCCTCCAGGGAGCATCTGGGGTGCAAATGAGGTAAGTGGATGAGGGCGTGCTCGGACAAGTTCAGCCAGGATCTTATCCCTAAACAAGATTCAGCCCACTCTCTCTTGCTCAGAACCCCACCCACCGCCCAGGGCAGCAGACGCGTGCTGTTTCCAAGGCCTGTTCCCGCCCCTCTGACAGGGGTCTTCACGGGGGCTGAGCCTGGCCCAGGCAGGTAGACCATGGCCCGAGATCCAGCCCCCAGACCCACACCCAGCCAGGCACCCCCAACCCTATGAAATACACCAGAGCCCTGGCTCCCACCCCCCACTTCCTGTGTGGAGTAGCGGCCGGCGGCAGCCCCACGCTGCCACTGACCTGCCACAGGACACCGAGCAAGCCCCAGGGCCGCCCAGACCTCGGGGATCTCAACCTTTCCAGGGTCACAGACTCCTCTACAAATCCGAGGAAAGCTGGGGGCCCTCTCCCCAGAAAAAAGTTCACTCCAAAATCAGGTGCCCAGTGTTAGGGAATTCAGAGACCACCAGGGGCCACCCAGAGACCCCGGACGAAACGACCAGGGAGAGCTGAGCACTAAGGGCCCTCCGCCCAGAGCTAAGACAAGAGGCCCGCCAGGATTCCACCCAGATCTCAGATCCCCGGCTCCAGAGGACGGGTGAGCGGCAGGAGGGTCCCCCACGCCCCAGCGCTGCCCCGGTACCTGCTGCAGGCCCTCCTGCAGCTCCTGCAGCGACGCTGTCAGCCGCTGGTTCTCGGCGCGCAGCTCCGAGACGAGGTCGGCGTTGTCCAGCTCCTTCTCCTTCTCCTTCTCCTTCTCCTTCTCCTTCTCCTTCTCCTTCTCCTTCTCCTTCTCCTCCGCCCCGGGGAGCGGCCCCCGGGCCCTTCGCAGCAGCGTGCACTCTTCCTCCAGCCGGCTCACCTTGAGCTTCAGCTGGTCCACCTGGGGCCCAAGACACGGGTCAGCCCGGAGAGGGACGCAGCCCAGGGAGGGACCAGCAGCCAGGCCAACAGGAGAGACCCGCGCCCTCACTCCTCGCTGCCTCCCGGGCCCCAGAGGGGCCTGAGCAGGAGTCCTCCCCAGACTCATCTAGGAAGAAGGGACAGGCTGGGCGACTACAATGAGGAAGGAAGAGGGGCAGCCACCCTCCCAGGGGAATGGGCTCCAAGGACTCGTGCGTGGATATGCTGCATCACAGCACAATTCCCACGGCGAGTACAGGCAGTGTGGCCCAGGACCGGCATGACGAGGAGAAGCAGAGCTGCCCCAAGAACAGGGGGGCCAGGGCCTGGGCCCAGCTCTGCCTCTACTCAGCGTGGCCGTGGGCAAGTCACGGCCCCTCTCTGTGCCCCGATCTCCTCATCAGTAAAATGGGGCCAGTCAACATCCCGCTCCACCCCCTCCTCCCAAAGTCACTGCAAGAATCAAACAAGACGGTGGCAGAGGCCTTTAAACTGTCAGAGGCTGCTGCCGAGCTGCCAGGGGTGTGACAGCGGCTGTCTTCACAGCTTTAAATAAAACCCCAGAACCCCTGCCTGTCACCAGTTCGGTGTGTGCAGCCAGAAGCTGGCCCAGGGGGTGGGTGGCCGAGTGGTGGCCGCCTGGCTGAGAGTGGATACGCACGGCCAATTTGCTGGATTAAGAACGCACTCAGCCAGAGTGCATTATTCTCTAAATTCACGTGGGGTCTGAGGTGATGAGACAGTGACAAGAGGAGCAGCAGGTGGCAGGCCACAAAATGAAGTCACTGTTGGAAAAAGGGCATGATGACCTCTGATGCCACACTCAGGCACGCCAATGCCTGGTGCCCCGGGAGCGCCTGGTCTTGGAAAATGACTCGCAGCCCCCACCCCTCAGCGTGTAGCATGACCACACACGCGCACACACGCACACACGCACACACGCGCACACGCACGGGTCTGGAGGCTAGTCGGGCACTGGAATTAACAGTCCTCTCCTCCTCCGCGAAAGACTCAGAAAGAAATTCATGACTCTCGCATTCCTTTCCCCTCACAACACACGCTTTGTGAACCGCCAGAGAAAGACAGCCAGTTAGAAGGGCAAGTGTGGTCACTCTCGCTGGCAAACCGCAGCCCCACACACGGCCTCTCCCCGGACCCGCGGCCAGCGGGCTCCCCCGATGAGCTCAGGGGACGGGGCACCTGGGATCTCCGCCCAACACCAGGAAATACGCATGCCTTTAATCCCGGTGTACAAACTCACTTAGCACAAAATTACAGCATTCGTTCCTTAAGTTTATGTTGCTTAGAAATAACAACTCATTAAATTTGCACCTTATAAACACAGTATTAAATCGCAGCCACCACACACCTGTCCATGGGGGGAGGGGACCCAAGCTGCCCAGCCAGGCACCATCAGCTGCACTGCTCATTTCCACTGCAACGCCTTTGTTAACTTTGTGGCAGGAAAGCTCCAGTAAGTTGAGGCAAATTTACCGTAGCTACATTTAAAGAAAATCTCATCTGTGATTAAATTTCACCACTTACCCTCTACCCGCCGAACTGGGGGAAAGCAGTCATTGTCTGCTTAGTGGCAGACCACCTCACCCCTAGGTTGTCACACTACGTGCACCTGCAGACAAGCTGCAGGTACACGTCACCTCTTCTTCATCCCCCTACCTCACCCCAGGGGACCCCAGACGGGCATACACACGCACAGGACACCCCCCAGTCACATGCACACACCCGACCCAACTCACCATCACACCCAACCCAAAGGTGGGACAAGCCGCGCAGGCCACAGCCCCTTCCGCACCCCTGGCCCATGGCCATCACGCTGTCCTTGCCAAGCAGCAGAATCCTCTTCCAAGAAAACCTCACAGCAAGTCCCATGTCCATTTCAGACGAGGAGGACCTGGGTGAAGAGGGGGGACCCCCGCCTGCAACCCACCCACCCCACCCACAGCAGTGCCAAGAGCAAAAGTCAGAAATTCTCAATCTTGGGACCCTGGGGAAGTGCTCTAACCCACTTCTCTGTGCCTTGACTTCCTCATCCATAAATGGGGACAATAAGTGCCCCCCGCCCCCATCCCAGTGGAGTTGCTGGAAGATTAAAGGAGTTGGGCGTGGCAAGCACTGAGGATGTGCCCGCACACAGGATGCTGTATCGTTGTTGTACCATCCTCATCCGGGACCTCCCGTTTCAAGGAAGATGAGGAAACTGAGGCACAGAGAGGGAAGCCTTGCCCGTGCCACCCTTCGCTCAATCTGCAGCCAGCCTGCGGGCCTCAGACAGCCCTACCGCACGCCAAACACCACGCAGGCCCTGGGACGACGGCCTCACGGTCACCGGACACCCACCCATGGGCCTCCTACACCCTCAAGAGGGCCCGGCAGCCTGGGCCCTTCAACCTGTGGCCTCACTGCCCCCCGTCAGGACTCATTTCCCCAAGTATCAACCCGGCGGCACGCACAGCCGCAGGCTCCGGCACAGAGATGCACCCACACACACAGCCTCACACGTGCCACCCGTCGTCCACGGGCACCTGCCTGCAACACCGCAGCCACAACTGAAGCTCATGGGGTCGGGGGGCTTCCAATCCCAAAGTCAGAACCCCGGGGGACCTCACGCAGTATTGCCAAAGAGAGCCTACTGCGGGCCAGCGCTGCTAAGTCCTTGGGACAACCCCCTGCGGCAGCCAAAGAGCAGCTTTCACTCCAGCTAAGTCCCAGGACGAAACCAAGCAAGTGAGGCTCGGGTTCTCTGCCTGTACGAGAGGGGTGGGCGAGATTCCCCCTGGATGGGGGCAGGCAGAAGAGCATCATGGGGCGGGGGCCAGCGCTGGCGCCAGGCGGACCTGGTTCAAGTCCAGGCTGTGCCGCTTCTCGGCTCTGTGACCTTGAGCACGCCCCTTTACAATCGAAGCCTCAGCGTCCGCATTTCGAAATGAGAACCTGGTGCACGGTGACTTAGCGGGATTGTATGACATGATGCACGTAACCTGCGTGGCACACAGCAGCACTAACAATAACTGTCAACAACAGTGGCTGACAGCGACGTAGGTCTCGAGCACTAACTGTGCCAGTCACTGTGCACGTCTTCAACTCACAGAATCCTTGGAACCTAAGGATGCTCGGCCCCAGCACTTCCCGACATCCTGGGCTGGATCGTTCTTGGTTGTGGGGCGTCCTGCGCACTGCAGGATGTTGAGCAGCACCCCTGTCCTCTACCCACTAGATGCCAACAGCACACTCCCAGCTGTGACAACCGAAAATGTTTCCACACACGGCCAAATGTTTCTGGGAGCAAAATCGCCCCCAGTTGAGAGGCATGATCATGACTCAATGAAACAAGTGCTATCAACATCCCCACCACACAGATGGGAAAACCGAGGCACAGGAAGGTGAAGGGACTTGCCCATGGTCCGCCAGGTGGCAGAGGGGGGCTCTGGGACACCAGCTGCCTACCATATTACCGTCATTTTTTGCAAAGGTTGCCCTGCCCATCGCCCCAGGGCCTACCGCCAGCTGCAAGTCACGGCTGCGCAGCACGGCCGAGTTCTTCTCCTCGCTGAGCTGGGCCAGGCGCATGGCGATCATGTAGTTCTCGTCCTTGAGCCGCAGCAGCTCCAGGCTGCCCGCCTCCCAGTCCTCCCGCAGCCGCTGGCAGCGCTCCTGCGCCTGCTGTTGCTCCCGCAGCCGCTGCTCCAGGCCCGCCCGCTCCTCCTCCAGCGCCCGGCCCCGAGCCTGCAGCTGCTGCTCCCGCTGCAGCTGGCTCTTGCGAGCCTCGCGCAGCCGCCGCACCTCCGTCATCAGGAACTGAGTCAGGCCCTCGGGCCCCTCCTCGTCTGCCCAGGACAGGGGAGACAAAAGTCAGGTAGGGCAAATAAAACCCAGGCGATGGCAGACTGCACAGAAAAACCCAAACCATAAAAACACTACAAGGAAATCCTGGAATATATTTTTATAATTTGGGGGTAGGGAAGGTCTTCCTAAACAAGACACAAAATCCAGGAGCTATAAGAGAAAAGATGGACAAATCCATATAAAAATGTTTAAATTTCTGAACGATGAAAGATGTAACAAAGTTAAAGACAAGCAACAAAGCAGGAGAAGATAAATATAACAAAGGATTCAGAGCCACAATATATAAAGAGCTCCTACAAATCAATAAGAAAAGTCAAACAACCAAATAAAAGTATGGGCAAAAACTATCAAGAGGCAAGTCCCAAAACAAAAATGGCTAATAAACATAGGAAAAATATGCTCCAACTCACCAGCAATAATAAGAATAGCCAATAATATTTGACTTTATTCTTTGGGCTAGATATATATATTAATTTATTTGGTCTTCATGACAACACTTAAGGTAGGTACTATTATTGTGCTCATTTTAAAGACAGAAAAACTGAGGTACAGAAAGGTCAAGTCATTTGCCTAAGGTTTACTAACTAGCAAGCTGTGAACTGCACCTCTCAACGAAGTACAAACTTAAAACAATAACCTATTACTTTTGACATATCAGACCAGCAAAAATGTTCTTAAATGATCCCCAGGATGCATGAGGGTACAGCAAAACGAGCACTCACACAGTGCTGGTGGGATGTATGCTGATTTAACGTTTAAAATTTCACATACTCTTTTTAGTTCTCAGAACCTCTGCTCCTGAGACACACATTTGCACAAAGATGCACACAGAAAGATGTTCCCAGCATCATTTGTAATGTTGCAAAACTGGAAACAACCTAGATAGCCATCAACAGGGGACCAGTTAAATGACTTATGGCACAACATCACTAATGAACACTGTTCAATCATTTAAAACAAGTGTGACAGAAGTGGACGAATCACTAAAATCAGTGTTCTGAGGAAAAGCGAAATACCAAGCAACACATGTAGGATGATCCCGTGTGTGTGTGTATAAAAGCAAAGAAAAAGGAGACTCGCCAAACTGTTACCAGCAGAACAGAGCTGAAGGAAGAAGTAAAGATCTTTTGTTTTTATTCTAAAGTTACCTGGTGCATTTGAATTTTTTACATAAGAAACTAAACCCATGAATGCCTGACACACACGTCTGAAAACAATTTTAGGGGGAAAGAGCCATGTTAAATGTGTGGGCTCTGAACTCAGACTAAGTGGATTAGGATCCCAGCCCCATAGTCAGCCTGCTGTGGGGCCTCAGGCACACGGCTTCAGTTCTCTCTGTGCCTCAGTCTTCCTATCTGTCCAACAGGGATAATAAGAACGCCTCCCTCACAGGGACGGGTAAGGAACCTCTGCACTGGTGTCTGAGGCGCTGGCACCCACCAAGGCCTACTCACCGAGGATCATGGAGCAGCGCTGGGCAGGCTCCTGGCCCGTGAGCAGTGTGAAGTGCTCAGGGTAGTAGAATTCTAGGGCTTCCAGGAAGGCCTCGTAGCCCCTCTTGCCACGGCAGCGCAAGATGTCCATCAGACGTCCTGGGGAGCGGCAGACGGGTGCCCTGGGGTCAAGGTGAGGGCGTCCCCCAGTGCCTAGCCACTTCCTCCCCCTCCCAACTCATGCTCCAGGGCCCACGTTCCCCAGATTTTTGAGTAGGTGACACACAGAGGGGCCTGTCTCAACACATCACGGGGGAGAGCCTGTCTGCCACAGCCAGAAGAGCCAAACCCCGGCATGGCCCCTGTGCTTCAACAGCCCCCCAACCCTCTGCCCACCCCCCACTCACACGAATGCAGGACCAGCAAATGCAGCCTGCTTTTTCAGTGGCACAGAGAAGCCCCCCACCCTCAAACGAAAAGTAAAGTATTTCTCCCATTAGCCAGCGCTTGAAATTCCACCACTAGACCCTCATCCCTTGGCCAGCTCTGGTTCAAATGCACACCCAGTGGGACAGGGGACCCTCACAAAGCCGAGACGGGTCTTGAGCACTGGGAAAATGACTCTCCAAGGAGTGTGTGGCACAGAGGGAAGGGGCAGAGAGAACCCAAGAGATCAAGGGGCACAGGAAAGATGCCAAGTCCACGCCTGTGGCCGGGAGGTCCCAGGCCCAGCCTGCACCGGCAAACCCCGCTCTAACGTGGGCCCAGAAGTGAGAGGAAACCGAAGACAGACAAAATCCAGACGCTGGTGTGGGCACCGCGGACCCGCGGGGCCGTGATGGTGGTGCAGGAGGAGTCGAGATGGTGGGCGCACCCAACCACCCGACTCCACCGACGTGGAGACCGAGGCCCAGGGCTCCGTACGCGGCGCTCAGGGACGCGGCCCGGGGCCGGCCCGGGCCCGGGCCCGGGGAAGGCGGGGCACCGCCCGCTCGCGCCGACCCCGCGCGCCCGCGGCTCACCGGTGCGGTTGACGCGGCACGGGAAGCGGTAGGTGCTGAGCACCTCCTCCTCGTCCTGCTCGTCGATGACCCGGCACTGGCGCAGGTACGGCGTGAGCTTGGCCGGGTTGAGCGCGCGCGTCAGCCGGTGCCGGACGCCCTCGATGCGCTCCCACAGCGCGTCCTCCTCCGCCTCGGACCCCGAGCCGGCCCCGGCCTCCTCCTCGGCCTCCTCCGCTTCGGCCCCGCCCGGCATGGCCGCGTCCTCGGGGTCTGGGGGCCAGAGGCGCGCGGGTCAGCAGGGGCGCC